AGAGAAGACTGGATGGAACATCTTTGCTTTTGGATTGGGCTTCTTAGATTATTTCCCAACTCCTTCACATAAGGAAAGTACACAAACATTTTGCTCTCTCACACATGCTCTTTATGGCAGAATTCCAGGCTTCACAGCCACAGCCAGTCCAGCAAGCATTTCAGCTCCTTCAACATCTTTGGCTTCAGTACCAAAATCAAAATGAAATGCTAATTGAGAAAGAATTCATGGCTTTGAATGTGGGTATTTTCAAAAATTCCTCTAGGAACTTAAAATTTATTCTATTTATTGTAATATTCTATAGATTATTTCTATAGCTATTTCATTCTCAAGTTCTATTTATTGCTACTAAAGTCCCTCTCCCACTCTTAATTTTGCACCCCATCCCCAAAAATGCTTTAAAGACTGTTATTTATGCACATACATGAAATGTTACAATTTTTCTAGCAACCTTTACAATAATATTAGTCTTCCCATTTTGCCAAATGATTATCCCCAAAAATGAAGAATTTGCACTGAAGACACTTTCTGCCAGTTACAATATTATTTCTTAGATTGTGGTAAATTATTGGCCCATGGAGAAAAGGGGACAGGTGGATCTCTTACAGAGATGCTAGTCTGTCCTTCTCGAGGCTTTGGAGTCACATCTTCGCACTACTCATCCTTACCTGTATAATTGTATTAGAGATGCCAGTCCTTGCCTTCCACTAACCTTCCAAGAGCACTTGTGGTCATTTGTTACATCAGTAATAGAAAATTAACACACTTCTGTAGCAAACATGGCCGTCTACAGTCTGTGGGTAGACACATCTCCCTCTTTGACCACAACCTGGAAAAGCTCTCCAATGTTAAGAAGCCATAAGATTAGATTAGGTTCACCTGGATAATCCAAGCTAATCTTCCCATCTCAAGACCTTTAACTGAATCACATCTACAAAATCCGTTTTTTTCCATGTAAAGCAACATAATCCTAGATTCCAGGGGTTAGGAGTGGACATCTTTGAGGGTCATAATTCTGCCTAGCACACAGGGGATTGCTGACCCAAACAGAACCAAGCATATCATCTCTCTGGATAAGCTGAATTTAGGATATAGTACTTGGTGGAAATGTAATATAGAATTGGGCTGGCTTACAGAGACACACACAGAGAAAGAAGCAGAGGAAAGTGATGCCCCGTGACCCCTAGAGATTGACAGGGTTATCTTTGGACATTCCAGATGTTGCTCCAGGCCTGCCATGGCCCTCTGATACTAGAACACTGACACTCAATCATGTGACAACTGCTCTTCCCCCCAGAGCCATTTAAACTTTTAGAAGGTGGGGCAAAGAGTAAGCACAGAGTAGCTGCCAGATGGTATTAAGAAAGATCTCCTGGCTCTATGGAGTTTGTCCCACAGTGCTTTTGGCAGTTCATGGAGCCATGTGTTCATGAAGCGATGAAAGCTCATAAGTGGATATCACATTTCCAAATCCATTAGAGCCTTGAAAACAAGGTGGTAGTGGCTATAATTCCTTGAAATGCTCTGTCTATAGGTGTGAGAGAGGATTAAGCAGAAAAATGTATAAAAGGGGGTACTAGGGGAGAAAAATGTTTTCAAGATTATTTGTCCATATGTAAATTGGATCTATACCTCTCAATTGCAACTCATCTTTCTTAGTAAATCTTAATAAAATATCTTTTTTTCAAGGCTTCCTCACTCTCAAATTAGATGTCATTCATTTAATTTAGTCAACAAATATCTGAGCATTCACCCTGTGCCACTCCTGGAGTTAAGAGCTGAAAATGCACAATGCAAAGACGAAATAGGGTCTTCCTCTTTTGATTCCACGTTTAACTTTCTCCTGGCACTGACCACTTCCTGCTTCACAGGTGGGTTCTCTATCTTCTCTACCTGAACACAGCCAATCCCACTGCTAATATGTAATCCCTTAAAGAGAAGACACTGAATCTTCTCGATTATGGGACTGCTCATAGAACAGTGTCTGTCCTGACATAAAGGAGCACAAGAATTCAACAATCTTTAGTATGACAGGGATGGAGAGAAGTGAAGCATGACTGTGAGATGGAGTTAATACACCTCCACAAGGGCGACCTTGTCGTGGGTCTCAAAGTTTGGGTAGGATGTGAATGGGCCAGAGGGACAGAAAAGAAGAGAAAGAGCATGATGAGCAATGGATTCCACTTTGGAGGACCACAGAGATACAAGCTTCTAAAGAGTGTAGGCCTTGTATTGGAGAATGGGAGAAATAGTTGGATGAGAAGGCTAAAGCCAGGTTATCTGGGGCTATCTCCTTTCCCTCATACCTTTCCAAATGAGAAGCAACTGAAATCGTAGGACCTCCTTTGCTTTTCTATTGGGTGAATGTTTCTTGGTGTGAGTCTCAGTGCCTACATAACTAAAGCTTACTGAAGTGTTCCCTTGGCAAATTTAGAGAAATATGTCCTTTGTGCTAACATGTTCATATTGACAGACTATATCTAATTATATAGTTGCCCATATAGTTTTATGATGCCTCCAAGTGTGGATAAAAGAAAAATCAAACTCCTATTCTTGGAAAGTCATGAGGATACTTGTTACACTGATCAAAGGGCAATGGAAATGATCCAGTGAGGATTTTGCTCCATTTCTCACAATTATTTAAAATCCACCTCAAATGTCTGCTCCTCTACAATGTCTCCCAAGTCCTTCATTCTGAATAGCAACTCTGTCTCTGTTCCCAAAGCACTAACTGACCCTGTGACAGGGCACTTCCCATTCTGGCTGATATGTAGACCTAGTTGCCTGTGTGTCTTTTCCCCATAAACCGTGAACTTCCTTTTATGAATAATAATTGCAGCTAACATTTTGGAGGGTACTCCTATCTGCCAAACTCCATGATGAGTGTTTTACATGGATTTTTCCTTTATTCACTAAACAGTCCTTTAAAATGATGCCATTATTCATCTTCATCTTACAGATAAGGAAACTAAGGCAAAAAAACATTCAGTGAAATAATAAATCCAAGCACACAGAACAAGTAAGGAATAGGGTTGGCCTGGTCCCAAAAGCCATGCCATCACTGTTGCCCCATACTCTCTCTTGGAACAGGCAGAGGTCATGTCTTATTCATCACTGCTACTCCACTGGACCCAACTTAGTGCCTGATACAGGGAGGGGTTCAGTCCATACTTACTAGTTTGAGTGTAGCAGAATTGCCAGGCACAGAGATCCCCTTTGCTGTGACTAATTGAAAGTCTGATTCTCTGCTTTAAAGACAGCCAGGGTGCTCTCTCTGCCCTACTTCGTTTTTCCTGTTTCCTTACTCCTCTTCCTTCCTAGCCACCCCGTGTGGATTCAAAGTTGCAGCTTAGTGCAGACCAAGGGAATACAAGGCAAAACGACCAATGTGGGATTGAGAGAAGAGAAACAAGGAATTCCAGAGGCTGGGGGGAGAGTGAGGAAAAGAGAAAGTGATTACAATTTATCACTTTAACTTAATATTTAACCTAATGAAACCAAAACCTTATCTGGAATTTGGAAGTCAATATTTTGATGGCTGGTTCAGTACCCTTTTCTTTGTTTTGACAGTCTGAGAATAATCCAATGGATGTGGCTTAAAGACATCGATCACATGTGGAATCGGAATTGGATGTTACACAGGCAACAAAATAAATATCTGTGCAATATATCTGCTTTATGCACTCAAGCAGAGAAGAAATCCACAAAGACTCACCAGTCTCCTGGTCTGCAGAGAAGACAGAAACAACATGAGCACAGCAGGAAAAGTAAGCAAAAAATATATTACTGTTGGTAATATATTCTCATCAATATAACAAAGAAAGGAATACAGTATTTGATGAATAATTTAAAATTAATATCTAAATTAGAAATGATACACTGAAATAAGATATGCAATATACACCTCAATATGTAATGTATACTGAACTGCAGTGGAAATAAGCTATTCTTAAATAATCTTGCACCCGGCCCTCCGCCCCTGGGGCGGCTTCCAGCGCGGGCCGTGCGCCCCGCCGCCTTCCAGGGTCGCTGCTCCGCGGGCACGTGGAAGGCAGGCGCCGCATTCAGGCTCCCGGAGCTCCCGCGGGCTTGCAGGACCCGGCAGGTACCTCTTGGCGGCGGCTCACCCTTTTCTTTCCCTCCATGAGAAAGAAGCCAGCTCTATCTGAGGGCAGCAATCCTGATGGTAATTTCCTCCAGGAACACTGGCTGGTTGAGGACATGTTCATTTTTGATAATGTAGGCTTCACCAAGGACGTGGGAAACATCAAGTTTCTGGTCTGCGCAGACTGTGTAATTGGACCAATTGGCTGGCATTGCCTAGATGACAAGAACATTTCTGTGTGGCCTTGGAACGAGTTTCCCATGAGTAACTGCGGGTAGGGGTATCCGGCTCCACCTCCAAAGATAAACCTGCTCCACACAAGAACTGGCCTTTAATGTGGTCTAACTGTTCTGCTGCCTTCTTCTCTGTGCTAACATAAATACTGAGTACCAGCATGTCCACTTGAACATGCAGAGGGTTAATTCTGCTTCCTAAAGCCTCACGAACATGCCTCCTGCTTAGTTCACTTTGCATCAGATTTCCTAAGCTCCTGTTTCCCCCAGTTTTGGGACACTGTGCTTACCTCCACAAATCTCATCTCTTTCCTAGCATTCTGCCCAGGCTTTGTTTTGCCCAGGGGCTCCCTCTTTTTCTAGAAGAGCAGTATTCAACCTTTTAGCTATGACGACATGTAACAAAAGATGCTTATGTACTAATAGTTGAAAGTCTGCCTTTCAAATTCAATAAGGCATACAAATATCTGAGAGTGACTTTGTTGTATAGCTTCCCTTGTGATCTACAGTAATTTAATCTTTCTAAAAGTAAAGCATTTACTAAACTCAGTATTTAAACCACTAACCAGAAACATTACTTGGGATGCATCTCTAATACTATGTTTGAGCGCCTCTGCTCTAGGTTGAGAATGACATTTTATTGTGAAGATGAGTGCGGTCCCTCTTCCCTTGAAATCTTGTGGTTTCTTTTTATATTAACTCCCCACTGCTACAGCCTAGAAGGTGAGAAGCAGATTTTTAACCCCATCTGGCAGCCACTCAAGGAAAACCCAGCCCTGGCTGTTTACCCAGGCTCTCTTGGAATGAGAGTGCAGGGTGTAGGATATGAGGGTTAGGCCTTTGCCAGATTATACGTGAGTTTATAATTCCCTTCATCTGGACAGGTAACTTTCTTCCTTTGTTCATAGGCAAAAAGTTCTTTAATGGATAGTATCATTTACTGAACCTACTAGGCATGGTCCTCATGGAGTTTTGGTTCAACTGGAATCTCTGTGCCAACCCAGGATACAAACTTCCATCCGGATGCCTCTATTTCCATAGCTCCGGGGCTGCTCTAACAGTTTGATATCAGCAGACTTGTTTAAGCCTTCAACTTGATTTCCAAATATTCCATCATTTCTATTCTGAAATGACTCACCGTCATAGAAGGAAGTTTATTATATAACCAAGGTTTCAGGTATCCTCCTATAACCACCTCTATCATTCAGGAGGCCTAAATTTGAAATAAGTACTAAATAGAAGCCTCACCATCTGAAGTCCCTTCTGTTGTTTTCTAGTTGCTTCCTTCTTCCTTTACCCCCAGACTTTCTAAGGGCTCCGCCGCTGCAGTGCAATCTGGCCTTGGGCACACTTTTGCAACCAACCTACTCCCCTGGAAAGGTGGCTTCCTTCTCCAATCAGCCTGAATGAGCTTCAGTAAGCAATTGAGAGAACTGTGTTTTTCCAACAAATGGTCACATGTCCATTGTTATGGCATCTAGAGAAAAAGAGAGTTATCCAATCAAGGCAGGAGCATAACCCAAGTAGATGCCTCTAGGGGCACATGGCCCCTCACATCACAAGCCAGAACCTAAGCTAAGCATTTTTTAAAATGAGTTTGAAACTAGCCTGTGCAACATAGTGAGACCCCATCTCTATTTTAAAAAATGAACAAAATTACTTGGGCATGGTGGTGTATACCTGTAGTGCCTGCTCCTTGGGATGCTAAGGTGGGAGGATCACTTGAGCCCCAGAGATAGTGACTGCAGTAAGCCAAGATCACACCACTGGCACTCCAGCCTGGGCAACAGAGTGATACCCTGTCTCAAACAACAACAACAAATACATATACATATACATATATATATATAGCGACTTGAATAGGAAACCATAGTATTTCATTGTTTTCATTTGCATTTATTTTACTTCTAGTGAAACTTTTATGTACTTATCAGTCATTTCTGTTTCCTTTTTGAAAACTGCCAAATGTTGCCCTAGTAGCCAAAAATATCAAGTTGCTATTCTGCCTTTTCAGTTTGATCTGAAAGAAATAAAGGCATTTAAGCAATGGAAAAAAAATATCTTTAACAGGAATGTATAAAACCTGTATTAAGTCTTTATTTCCTACATTAAATAAATTTGCAAAAATGATAGTTTATTCCAGCTAATCATGACTGATTTGTAAATCTAAAGTTAGAAAAGTCTTTAATCACAAGTTATCTTTATAATGACACCATAATTCAAATGTGTTATTATTTGTATTCATATTTTTATGAACACAAGAAAGTTGTCTGACAGAAGTTTGATGAGAGGAATTTGATTCAGAAGATTGAAATATCCTTCAACCTTACTATAAAATATCTTACAAAATGCTCTTTGATCTCACAGCATTAGAATCATCAAGGTTAAGCAAGACATCAGCATGCAAATTCTAATTAAAAGGGGTCCATTATGATACAATTCAGGGAATTTCCACAAAAATCCTATGGAACAGTATCTTCCCCATTTAAAAGTTAGTGTGGTTTCACAGCAAATTAACAATACAATTTGAATAATAATACAATTCGAATCACTTAGCACTAAGAATACAGATATTTGTTTTTTTCCTCTATAAATTGCGCTTATTTGTTCAATGTGTTTACAGGTGCATGTGGTCATTCAATATAATCAATTGATATTTTTTAATTGTTTAATTACATAAACCTGTGCAACTATTTCCAGTCATTTGTGGTGTTAGGAGTGTACCACACAGTAAAATATCTCACCATGATAATTCAATTTAAAGGTTCTGAGGCTTCTCTCTACATTGTGTGACAAACAGGCTCATATCAATAAGACCGGTTGGAAATCACCAATAGCCCATTGTTACTGTTCTTATTCCACCTCACTTTACTTCCATTTATTACTAATTAATATTTACATTCCTAATAGAAAATTACTAAAATAAAGAAAATTCAAATTTACCAAACTCAACTTAAAAGAAATAATGAGTTCATAGAGCAAAAGTATAAACCAACTATATTAATGAAAATAATAACTGATGAAATAGACAATCCTCCCCTGTTAGGTGCAACATCAGTAACTTAGCTTTTTGACAGCATTTCATTTGTGTTTACCCATCCTGCATTTTATTTCCCTCAAATGCTAAATGGTGACAATACTAACATCTATTTCATGAAGTAGTTTTGAGAATTAAATGAGTACTGTAAAGCACTTAGAATCATATCTGGTACATGATTAAATATTAGCCACTATTAAATATTAATATTTAAATAACTATTAGCCATTATTATTATTATTATTGCTATTTAACTTTTTGCTAACTTTTTAACATCACAGAGTACTGAAAATGTGAGGCTAGATTAATTGTTATTCTCTGTACAGTCAGCTTTCAGACTTCGGAAAAATTATTCAATCACTGAGTCAATTGATCCTCAATTATTTCAGCTGTAAAATAAGCCAATAATTCAATAGTATTGTCCTGGTAGCAGCCTTGTCAGGTTTAAAAATAATGCACATTGTTTACAGCAGCACAATTTGCAATTGCAAAAATATGGAATCAACCTAAATGCCCATCAACTAACAAGTGGATAAACAAAATGAGGTACATGTATACCACGGAATACTACTCAGCTGTAAAACAGACGAAATAACGACTTTTGCAGCAACTTGGATGGAGCTGGAGGGCGTTATTCTAAGTGAAGTAACTCAGGAATGGAACACCAAATATCCAATGTTCTCACTTAAAAATGGTAGCTAAACTATGAGGACACAAAGGATAAGAATGATATAATGGACTTTGGGGACTGAGGGAAAAGGGCAGTAGGGGGAATGAGAGAGAAAAGACTACATATTGAGTTCAGTCTACACTGCTCGGGTGAGGGGTGCACCAAAATCTCAGAAATCACCGCTAAAGAACTTATCTGTGTAACCAAAAACCACCTGCACGCCAAAACCTATTGAAATTAAAAATCAATCAATGAATAAATTTTAAAATAAAAATAATGCATATAATTTACCCAGCACAGGCCACAATGTGCCTGTTACATCATAAGCACCTAATAAGAAGAAACTTCCTACTATTAGTACCTTCTGTCTAAATATTCTGATATTTATTTTGGCATTGACCATGTTGAACATCCGACAAAGTTGAAAAATTTGACAAATAAATAATGAAAATGAATTGGCAGAAAAATAAATCTCAATTGAATTTTTAAATTATATTTGCAATTATGTTGATTCTTTCTAGAAAGGGCTCTGCGAACTGTACATGCTTTACCACAATGAAGATGGTTTTTACAGTACACTGTCAAGCACTAGAAATATATGCTGAACTTTCTTTTTAAGAACATCTATGGATAAGCTCTGCTAGACAGAAATTCAAACACACTGTTTCTCCAGTTTTAAAATATACATGTGTGGGTCTGAGTCTATACACACATACGTGCATGCACACACACACATACCACCAACTCTAATCTCTATAATATTTGGTTCAAATCTAAGCTGGAAAGAGTCTCTACACATAAATTAGATTACAAAACAGGCTGCCAAAGATAAGTTTCAAATGAGTAGGAAACAAGTAGCACACAGAAGTGGTGGAGAGAGAAAATTAAAAGAGGACAATAAGCAAATAGGGAGAGAAAGAAACATCATCGTACGCAGGAAGGTAAACCCGTATAACTGTTCTTATAGAGTCAGATCCTTTTGGCCTAAGCAGAAAATTGAGCAAGAAAGCAGTTTATTTTACGTAGCCAGACACTGACTCTGTCAGCAAAATAAAGGTGACTTCTAACTTCATGTATCAGCCAACAGTTGTGGGTAAACAAGCATTTTCAGGACAGCATTAGGAAATATCAGGAATAAACACCTTCAGAGAAAAATACAACAGCGTAAGAATGGCCTAAATAAATATATTCCGTTTTTCTCAATGTCTTATTATACTTTATCTTTCCTTATGTTATTGTTTTTCAAAAAGATACTTTTATTCTCTTTATAAACCAGAGTACTTCATTTCCATGGAGCACTTGTTAGGTACCAGACATGGGACCCAATATTACATGTACAAAGATGAAAAGACACAATTTCTGACTTGAAGAGTGAGAAAACACTGTCACCATCTCTCAGTTTGATTTTCTAGGTCATCAAATGCAAAGCAGCTGTGCTATGGGAGGTAAAGAAACCCTTTTCCATTGAGGATGTGGAGGTTGCACCTCCTAAGGCTTATGAAGTTCGCATTAAGGTGAAGTATTTTTCCATTTGTATTTCATTTTACATTTTAAAAACTCAGAGAATATTAAAATGGAAACATCAAAAAATCTACTAAGAGGCATATCTTATATGATCATCCAGAAAATAAAATTACATTTGTTGTCAAGCAAAGGTATAAATATAAATTTTAAATGTTTAAAAAGTGATCAAAGAGTACATACAGTATAATTCCAGTAAAATACAAAAGAATTTATATGTTTGTACAGAAAAAAATTCCACAGGATATTTATCAAGACTTCAAAATCAATTAACATTATTTTCCATGTGTTACCTTGCTATTTCTACTTCTGTTTTTTAAAGCGTGCATTCTTGTATAAGACTTAAATATTTCAGATTATTCTAAATTGCTTAATTCAAGAAGGGAAGGTAGAGACGGGTTTTAGACTGAATAACCTTGAGGATAAACCGAATCTTTCATATTTAGGAATAGTAGGGAGTAATAGCAAAACCCTTGAATATATTTTAGAAGCACAATATCAGGAATTTGGGTATGTTAAATTTATCTAGTTACAATCTTTTCTGAATCTGAACATCTTCTCTTTATTCTGTAGATGGTGGCTGTAGGAATCTGTCGCACAGATGACCACGTGGTTAGTGGCAACCTGGTGAGCCCCCTTCCTGCGATTTTAGGCCATGAGGCAGCCGGCATCGTGGAGAGTGTTGGAGAAGGGGTGACTACAGTCAAACCAGGTACAGGATTCACACTCGGGGAACACGCTTGGTTCACCATCCCAGGATTTCCCAGCCTGGATGAGGAAACCGAGGCAACGAGAGACAGAAGGGCTTGCAGAAGGTCACCGCGCAGCCAGGACTTCAGGGGTTTCCTCTTTCCCTCTCTGCCTGCCTGACTCAAGCATGTATGTCTTCAGGCACACGCATGTATTCACCTTCAACCATTATGTACTGAGCATCTACTAGGCATGGGGCACCAGGTTGAAACCTGGATATCGTGAGGATCAAAGGGACACAGTGCCTACCAGTGTGGCATTCATAATCTAGTAACTTCCGTGTTAGTGTTGCTGAACACTGTCTTCTGTCAGGGCCCAGACAGGGCGAAGCGGGAGGAGGAAAAACTTAAATATAAAAGTATTCAGTGCTGAGTTCACAAAATGGAGGCTGCGTGGTTACGGCTGAATAAACATGACCTTTTCTTAGGTGACCTATGCTGCTCCTTCACCAATTTCCTTTTCCAATATGGTCTCTCTTCCTGAGCTTGGAATCAATGAAACAGGCTAGGTGAAAGGAAATAGAAGAAAACATAGAAAAGAGAAACGTCCGCCATCAACAATATCTGCCTTATTACCTTTAGCCATGATTAAATGCAACTGGTTACAGATTACCATTATTTTATCTTCAGTATTTATTTTACTCCAATCTTACGTATTAATATAAATACTTTTAGAAGCAAAGGGTTAATAACTAGGACATTGCCATACTATTATTTTCACATATTTCCTATAAAGAATGTTAATGCACCAACCATTTTTCTTGATCATGTGGAATGTATAGCATAGGTGATTAAATACAAAAATTATATTTAATTCTTAAAAATCACTTTAGCCTCGCAAAAAGATTCACCCTGCCCCTTACCGAATACCATTTAAACTGTAGACAGAAAATAATAAAATAAACTGTCAAATTAGGTTTAGCTCTATTTCTTTTAACTAGGAAATAAATTAACAACAAAATGACAACCTTACTTGCTACCCCTACTCCTCACCATAACAGAAAAGTAGATAATTCACAAATTATCAGCTAAAAATATTTGTAAGTCAATTCTTATCCTAAAAGAAAGTGCCTAACTTGTTGTAGAGCTGAAACTTTCAGAAATTTCTAAAATTCTTCTTTGTCTTATTTTTGTTAGTTTTTCTGGAGAAAAAAAAAAAACCTAGAATTTTTTTAAACATTCATTTTCATAAAAGATAAGCACAATCACTTTGAAAAACCAAGAATTGGTTCAAAATTCTCGTATGTATTTTAAATCAATATTTTTACAAAATACAGATCTTCCCAATATCTACGGGCCCTATAATAGATGACTTTCAACTAAAATTTGTATTTATAGTAAGAATATTTTAAGATTTAATTAGTTAAAAGTTTAAATAAAATGATATTTGCAAAGCCTCCAGGAGAAATCAGTACACTGCATAAAAGTTAACTATTAGCTACAGAGGAAGCAAATTTTTAATGAGATCTCACATTTCTGTTTTCTCTTTAGGAATCCTCAGGCACTTATAAACCCAAACTGAAAACTAATGCTGCTAGGCATTGAAAAATGACATAATTATGATTGAACTCTAATCCTTAAAGACAGTTAAAGAAACATGCTTCTAATCAATACACAGGCTTTCAGTTTTTTTCTGTATTAATTCCTGCATAGAAATTTAAGAAGAACTTGTTTTATTCCTCTCCAGGTGATAAAGTCATCCCGCTCTTTACTCTCAGTGTGGGAAAATGCAGAGTGTGTAAAAGCCCAGAGAAGGCAACTACTGTGAAAAATGGTAGGTTTCTGATGCTCTCTTTACACAGACTTTGAGTTGCATTGGTTATAGTCTGTCTCAACCTTTGTCTATATATTACACTGCAATCCCCAAACTTAATCCTAGAGACCACGAGGTTAAACGGAGTTGCGTAGAGTGCATTTCTGCTTAGATTTGACTTTCCTTCTCCAGTGCGTTGATTGGTTGAGTGCAGTGGCCAAGAATTGATTGCAGCCTGCGCCCTGGAAAGTCTGCCTCATTGGCTGTGGATTTTCTAGGCTGATTATGGGTCTTGCGGTCAGTGTTGCCAAGGTTAGAATGACAATGGATAAACTGCTTATGCAGACTATCAGGAACCAAAAGTGAAGCAATTTCTTTTAAGAATCATAGATTATTTTTGTAGACTTGGAAGTGTCGATTATGAGTAGAAAAATGACCAGAAAATTGAGCGCATGCTAGAAATTTCACCAATTTATTGCAGATAAAGTTGTTAGAGTAAGATGTAGATTTTACAATAATTTTCCTCTGAATTTGCTGTTATAGGAGCATGAAATTTTAGGCCTGAGAACTCATGTAGTAATTCATTCAGCAATTGAGAGACACCTACTTCTAGGCCTGGGGCACCAGAGTTTCTGCTAGGTTCTGAGATAACAAAAGTAAATGAAATAAGCGTTTGCCCTTGAGGAGCATCTAGTCTGTGGATCCTCTACTCCCAGGAGTGGGATCAACAGTAGGTCAAAACCTTACATGCACCAAACCAAGGCTCACCCACTCTGTGGATTCTTGAGCCAGAGAAAGTATTAGGCTTCAGTGATCGTAATTCACCCATTATGGGATTTCACTGCTAAAACAAAGACTCCTGCCATGAACACACACATACTCTTTCAGAGTGGTAGATTTACAGAGTAGAAATTCTTTCAAGGCTCCTCATCTGGAGTAGGCTGAAAATCTAGTAGTATGCTTTATTTCGCCCAGAGCAGGGTCCAGAGTTATAAAGATATATATGCCCAAAGTCTCAGTGCTGAGACTAAAATATCTTTAATATGAGGAGCTGAGATTAAAATATCTTTTTCAAATCTCCTGCTGAATCTTAGCTCACAATACGTAATTATTAGTGTTTGGAAATCACAGTCATAAGTCTTGTATTTTTCTAAGTAAAGTAGAAAATGGTGTTGTCCTTTTAGAATGAATAACACTTGGTGAATGAATGAGTGTATAGACACCCACCAAAAAAGGGAATATAAGGATGAGATTACTTAGGACAGGAAGCATGTCACCCACAATGAAGACTGACTGTGGGAGACTAGGTTTAATATATAACCACTAATAATAAAAAAAAATTCAGAAGAGCATCTTTTCACAAATTTCTGACTTTGCTTACTTGATCTCTTGTTCAGTTGCCTCATCCGTATTGTAGGTGGTCAAAGAGAGCCTACCCAAGACAGAAGATGGGGGCTACTCATAACGAGTAGGTTGTATTTATTATTGACATATGAACAAATGTTTCATTGCTGTGTTGTTCGCTGGTGTATTTTTAAAGCAGGGATATACTTATCACAACTACTGAACATAGAGTAGACAAGGCGTTAATTACTGAGGGTTTAAGTGGAATATTTTTCAGTCTCCTGGAGTAGCCTTTTCCACTAATTTTATTTTCCAAATATTGCTTTTGTGTATGTATGAGATATTGAAGCTAACTATCATGGGATTTCAGCAGGTGAAGTCCCTTCCAAGATTGTAATCACTGTCATCTGGATCTCAAGATCCAGTCCTAGTTCCCAGCCCTGACCTTCCCATTGGAGTCACCTGGGAACTGAGTTCCACCTGCAGAGAATCTCATTTAATTGACATGGGCTGTGACCTGGACAGTGGGATATTTTTAAACCTGCCCAGATGAATCCAGTATGCATCAGTTTGAGAACTGCTCAACTATTTCCAACTCCCTGAATTTGCAAAAATAAAAGCAACCGAAGTCAGAAGAGATTTTGATAAAAGGTTGGACTGAAGAGTCTGAGTAGCTCTTGATAAACACATAGGCATGGCACTTTATAAACATTTTCTAACAATCATTACTGAATCCATTTTGCATTTCTGAAAACATGGAGTCACCCAGGCTCTACCTGTGCTGTGTTTGGCCTGGGAGGGGTCGGCCTATCTGCTGTTATGGGCTGTAAAGCAGCTGGGGCAAGCCAGGAATCATTGCGGTGGACATCAGCAAGGACAAATTTGCAAAGGCAAAGAGTTGGGTGCCACTGAATGCATCAACCCTCAAGACTACAAGAAACCCATCCAGGAGGTGCTAAAGGAAATGACTGATGGAGGTGTGGATTTTAAGTTTGAAGTCATCGGTCGGCTTGACACCATGGTATGTACCATGATATGCCCTGAGATTTCTGTCTCTGCAACCTGGAAGATGCATTTATGCAGCAAAAAATACTCATATTCTATGTATAAAGGATATTTTTAATGATGAATGGAAATTTCCCATCATCTATTACCTAGCTTATTTAATTTTTGTTATGGGAAATCTTTTCTTCCATCAACTATGCAAACCTGTCTCAAATCATATTCCTCTAGAGGAAAAGAAAAGGCTTGTTTTTTCTTAACTGAGCATTTACAGACTTACTTTATTAATTTTTAGTTAAAAACTGTGGTTAAATGGCTTATAAATAATACAAATTCTGTTCTCAAATTGAAATGTTCTATTTTTCTCCACATTCTTAAAAAGCTAGGCTCAATAATTTGCATATATTTCTTAATAAATTCAAATTTTTAACATGTTACTATTTGGCCAAAGAAATGAGCAATTTAGGTAACTGCTGTTTATTAACGAAATATGCCCTAAAATTGACTGCTTTGAGACATGCTGTATTTTATCACGAAACAGGACAGTGCCTGGCACATGGCAAGTACCCAATACTAGTTGGACTGAATACTTTAAAAAGTCAACAGTCTCTACTAAAAATACAAAAATTAGCCAGGTATGGTGATGTAGCACATACCTGCAATCCCAGCTACTCCGGAGGCTGAGGCAAGACAATCACTTGGGCTTGGGAGGCGGAGGTTGCAGTGAGCCAAGATCGCGCCATTGCACCCCAGCCTGGATGACATGGTGAAACTCCGTCTCAAAAAAAAAAGAGGAAAGAAAAGAAAAAGAAAGTCAGTAGACTTTTACCACCCCCAAAGTTTAAAGCTGGCAAATATAGCATTTGCTTATAGATTACATGAGACAACGCATGTGATATGTAAGCAGTGCTGCCTGTCATATGGTAAACTCCCAATAAACATCAGCTGTCTTTTTTTTTTTTTTTTTTTTTTTTGAGACAGGGTCTCACTCTATCACCTAGGCTGAAGTGCAGTGGCATGAGTATAACTCGCTAAAGCCTCCCAACCCCGGGACTCAAGCGATTCTCCTACCTCCCAACCTCCAAAGTGCTGAGAGTATAGGCGACAATACCACACCCAGGCTCAGTTGGCATTATTGATATGAAATACTATTTCTAATCTTGCAGTGCTTGTCATCTTTGGCTTATTACATGGTATTTCTTTAAGCAGTTACAAATATCAATTGCAATGGAAACACATCTCTAGCTATATTCACCTACCCAGAATTCTCACAGAATCCTTTACTCAACGTCTCCAGAAATAACAAATTTCCATTGCTGGAGTTTTCTAGAAGGTCCAGCAGTGTGGGTAACAGGGAGTGGCACCCTAAGATCAAAGCTCTCAGTAGCCTTGACCTGGGACAGATGCCACAGAGGAATAAAATGTCAAAAGAATTCAATTATTTCCAGGGCTACAGCTTTTCTCTTTATGCTCTATTTCCATTTTCATCCATTTTCTCATGTGGAACTCAGATATACATATCTTTATCTCAAGATGCAAATGTCCCCGAGCAGCCATGTTCTGAGGATGTGTGTCTTAAAGGTCAGAATCCAAAATCAAAGAACTAATCATTATATACTACAGGGATCCTAAACCATTTTCTAACTACAGAGTGTATTTCCAAAAGCTGACTGAAGCATTTCTGAACTGTCTCTTGAGGTTTCCAAATAATCAGTGTATTTTAATGTAAAACCAATATGTATTTGGGGAAGTAATAAAACAATATTTAAAACATGTCCATTTGAGAAATGGACTGATAGAACAGAATCCACTTAAGAAGGAGACCATCAAATGGACAAGAGACAAATTTCAGTGATGTAATCATTTATCTTGTTCACCATCAAAATATCTGGTTGAAAGTACTGGGTTTAAATACCTGCGTAATAAATCAATGAAAAATGATTTAACCAACTCACAGATCACCTGAGAATTAATAGCGTGGTAAAATTTTACGCTTTATGTATAATTTATAATGATGCCTGCCTCCTTATTCCTTTATTAGGAAGAATTAAATGCACTCCAATTTATTCATCCATTCTTTCATTAAAAAAACCACTTTCTGGGCATTTCCCTAAATCCACAGCACTGCTCCTATGCAAAAGGGGAATGAAGGAGCAAAAGACATGATCTCTTTCCTCTACACAGTCACGATCCAGCTAAGCCTATTACATGATATTGTGCATTATGAGGAAAAACTATACAGCTTCCCGTTAAAGATGCCAAATATTCACTTTATTCCAGATGGCTTCCCTGTTGTGTTGTCATGAGGCATGGCACAAGCCGTCATCGTAGGGGTACCTCCTGATTCCCAGAACCTCTCAATAAACCCTATGCTGCTACTGACTGGACGCACCTGGAAGGGGCTGTTTATGGTGGTATGTAGTTGAGCTCAAGTGCAAATTCTCATTAACATCAATATATCTCCCACTTCTACAACTGACAAGTACGGTTTTGAAAACAAATCAAAAATAAATTAAAATTCCTTTTCTATCTACAGTCTCCAAATCAACTAGATATGGAACTGATGCAGACAGAAGGTCCCAATATAAACTTTTCTGTTGTCACCATAACCTAGGATCTTTCATCTCCATCTGTTTTTGTACTTGTGACTGTAAGGCATGGACACATTTAGTAGAACATGGAAATCTACAACAATATTTCATATCTACACCTAAATTTAGACAACCAATAAATTTGCTCCTCAATTTCTTGCTTGGGCATAAACATCTGTACTATTATTTCTATGTGAGAGACCAAAGAACTAAGAAACTGTTTATCTGTGATTTGTTTTACGTCAAGGCACCGTAAAAGCATATTGAAGTACTCTATCTCTTCTTATCCTCAGTTCATAGCAGTCTGGAATGCAGCACCTTTTCTAAACCTCTTTTATATGGAAAATTTCTTCAATTCTTCTACTGACCCTGGTCGAATCAACAATGATACTGTCTTCTTTTCAGGCTTTAGGTAGAAGGTATCCCAAAGCTTGTGGCTGATTTTATGGCTAAGAAGTTTTCACTGGGCCTTGATAATAACCATGTTTTTACCTTTTGAAAAAATAAATGAAGGCTTTGACCTGCTTCGCTCTGGGAAAAGGTAGAGTTTAATTGATTTTCTGTTTTGCTTTTTTTTCTACCACAGAGTTGTTTAGCCCAGAGGAATGAAAGAGTGGAAGGATAGAAAAATAGTCTTAGTTTCCATTACATGTTCAATCTTTGCCTGGGCGCTTGTGAGATCCATACTGTGAAGCTAAAACCAGTTACTTTATTCCTATTCTGCTGAAGTCAAATTATGTTGATTACTGCAAATCTGAATGATCTGAGCCACTCAGCCGCCAGCAAAGAAACACTCACATTTGCCAAAAAAAAAAAAAAAAAAAAAAAAAAAAAACCCACACAAAACAAGTCTATTTAAACAACCATAAAGACATAACATGGTGACTTTGAATCCTCATCCTTCTACCTACGTAAAGCTGACACTAAGTGTCTGCAAATTTAAATAATTTTCCAGCACGTCTTGACATTTTCATTGCAGGAAGATGGTGGAACTACATTAGGATTGTTTTCTGAGTAGATAATACTAGTTTCTCTTTTTCTTTTGTAGTTTAAAGAAAACCTTTTACCAATATAAGTTACATCATAAAGAGAAAGTACTAAGCACTATTTTAAATGTTTGTCATACATTTTCTCTGAAGCTTAGAAAAATAAGCCATTTCTATTTTCTATCTCTAACATTTAACAGTTACAACCAGCTAATAAAATGCATTTTGTCACCTGCATTTACACTTGAGGCTACAACTGAAGTGAGCAGTTATATCTAACCTTTGTCTTCTAGTCAGAAGTCAAGATTTTTTCTGCACTACTCCACTTATTTTCATGAGATTTTCAACTTTAAATAGTATTTCTTTGGCATTCACACAATCATTATACTAGATACTTTGGCAAGCAACATTCTTGAGGAAGGAAGGAAACTGGCACTCACAGAGCACCGGCTGTTCTACTAAGTATCTTACCTGCATTATCTCATGTGATTTCCAAACAGTGCTCAGTGTCAGTCTCTATCTCACTATCTTAGAGAAGAGAAACTGAGACACGGAAAAGACAACAAACTTTGCCAAAATCATCAAGTAGTAGTAAGGAGCCAGGATTCAAAAGTATATCTTGTTATTAGCAAATCTATTCACTCTGCTGAACCACACTGTCCCTCAAAAAGCGCGTGTACATATATGGAAAACAGTAGTCATCAAAGGTTAGTTATCATTGTCATTATATTACCATTGACATCATCATCGGGATCATCATCATAAGATTGAAAAGATGATGGCAAATATAGAGATGAACAAAACCAGAGGACAGTGTTGAGCAACATAAGAAGTCATGAAGCATGCCTAAATTCATTTTGTAGAATGTCATATAGTAATATGCATATGTAAATATAATTAATCCCATCAATAATCAAAGATTTAAAATTGTAATATTGAATATTGGTAAGAATAAGGTGAGTTGGGCACTTTCATGTACTTTCAGTAGTAATTGATACATACTTCTGGAAAAGTAATTTGGTAATATGTCAGAAACCCTTAAAAAATAACTGGATCATTTTGCCCCAATTCCATTTCTAGAAATCTATTCTACAGAAATAATCAACTATTCAAACATACATATATGTTTACTCGTTAGAACTTTGGAAACATTCTAAAGTTCAACCTTTACAAAGGAAAATAAATTCGTAAATTCCAGTCATCTATTAGAAATGAATGAAACCGCCAAAAAAATGACTTCATTGAGAAATTCTCATGGTGTAATTTAGGCTCATTTAATGAAGAATATAAATTGTATATATTGTATATGCAATGTCTCAAATTTTCATCAAAAACAGTAAAACATGCACATATTTCTAGAAAAAGTTCTTAGAAATTCAGAGGAAAGCATTAAGAATTATTATTTATATTTGGAAGTGGATTACTTTTACTTTCTTCTTTCTGCTGTGTTACATTCTCTGAATTACGTGCATATATTTTTTTCTCATCTACCATCTGCATATACATATATATGTTAAAAATTAAAAATTATTAAAAAGTACAAGCTATCATTTTTCTAAAAATATTTACTTGTAGAAGTTGGTTTATAGAAAGGCATTAGTTCTAGTGTAAATGTTCCATTTCTTAATCTTCACAAGAATGAAAAGAATCTTAAATTAGCTAGATGACTCTTCTCTGCCCAAAATGTAACATCTCCCATATCAAAAAGAGTCTTTTAAATTTCAACATAGTCTGCTGTTAAATTATATCAGTTCTTTCAGGCAAGTTATCTATCATCTTATGAGTTTGCAAATTTGCTTATTTAGGTTTGAATTCCAACACTCCATACTAGATTATTGCTGCAGAGCAAGTTATGAAATCTTTCTAAGTCTGGTTTTATCATCTCAGCAAATAATATGAAACCTACCTCCAGTGTTGAGTGTTTAGGTTGAAGTTTAAGAAAATGCGCAAAGAATATGACAAATAGTAAGAACTTACCATGGTATTATCAGGTGTTGTTTCAGCCTTATATACTAGGGATGTGGGCATGCAAAAATGATTTTTGAAGATGCTAATGTAAATTGAAGTCTAAATGACAGAGCATGTAGAATATTTTTGAGTGAGATTAAGATTAGAGAATAAATAAAAATAAAAAAATAAAAAAATAAAAAACAAGAGAAAACCAAAAAAGATGAACTTCCTTTGACTTGAACCAAATGTATGGGGATGAAATAGCGTAGCTGGGATCTGAACAGATTTTCACTAAGACAACTCAGATGTCTTGGACTCTCGTGGAAGCATGTGGGTTGTCTAGAAGTATTAACAAGTCTCTTCTTTCCTATTACAGTATCCGTACCGTCCTGGCGACGTTTTGAGGCAATACAATTACACTTCCATGTGTGAATCTTCATCCTCCTCTGCCCTACACTTGATCTGGAGCAACAGCTGAAATCTCCTTAATTCTGCTCTTCAGAGATGTATTCCAATAAATTACACATAGGGGCTTTCTAAAGAAATGAAATTGATAGAAATTATTTTCAACAAAAATTTAAAATTCAAGTGAGAATTAATAAAATTATTGAACATCAGCTGGGAATTGGAAGCCAATAAACCGTCCTTCTTAACCATTCTACTGTGTCATCTTGCCATTGAGAAAAAATATTTCCTGTGACTTCATGCATTTTAGTATCTTCGCAATCTCTTTAGTCGGCCTTGAATCCAGTAGAGAGGGCCCTTCACTTGCCCTGAACACACACCTGCTGGGCACTGTGCTTGAAGTCTCCTACTTCTATCTCAATTTTCCTGTTAGCATTTTCCTTTTTAAATAAAATGTGCAAATCCCTAAGTCACTTCTAAGTAAGGTAAAAGGATAGACTCATATTTACAAATAGTGAAGGTCAAGAGTTTCTAAATACAAGAAATTTCTTAGGAACTCAAATAAAATGTCCACATTTTGCTGCAGTAAAGGAGTAAGTGTTTTTATGGCTTTTATACTATTTCTTTATGGTTGATGTACAATTGATTTTAAAAATAGAGCAGATTTCTTGCTTCATATGGCAAAGGCTCAATTACTAATTGTAAAAACTGAACTATTCCTGGAATCATGTTCAAGAAATCTGTAATTTTCCTCACAGAAAGTACTACTTTGACTAAACAGTATTAGTTTATGGCTATAAACGATTATTTAGATGATGACTGAAAATGCGTATAAAGTAATTAAAGCCATATGGTGGCTTTAAGTGCAGAGATGGGGTGTAAATGCTGTGAACTCAGAATGTAAAATTAGTAACTGAGAAATGGCACGAAACGCACTGCATAGGAATGTGTGTGTATATTCCAGTGTAGAAATTAGCTAAGTCTACTTAACCGTGTGCTGATTGGCATTTGTGGGTTGAGCCAAGTTGTGAGTGACAGACAGGATGAAGAGACGGGAGAAAATGTGCATGGTTGTGAAATATATTTGCTTTGATTAATTATAAAGCATTATGAAACAAATGAAGTTTGGGGGTTGACTTCAATAATATCATGAACATATTTGAAATGAAATTCTGAGCATGGAGAAAATTTAAGTTATAATTATTAAAATGAACTAAATAGACAGAAATATTTTCATATATATGACCAAAAGATATTTTCTAAAATCCGCAATTGCTTTTCATTTTAAAATAGACAACCGAAGGAAAATGAACAATGATAGAAATTCATGGAGGAGAAATTAAAATGGCAAAATAGTATAATAATCTTACCAAGCCTTGGAAGTAGTCAAAAAAATGAAAATAGGAGTAAGGATATTGCTCAGACCTATTAGCTTGCATGGTTGGTAGAAATGTGCATTTGTCATGAGTTTCTGACAAACAATTTGTGATTTTATTAAAATTTTAAACATGCATGGCCCAAGCAATATCACTTGAGAATCAACTCTGTAATTATAATTGTAATATAGAATATAAAACAAGGCCCATTAGCTACAGCCTTACTTGCAGAAGAAACAAAAATTTTTAAACTGTCTGACTGATTGACAGAATAAAGAATGATAACTCCTATTTTGAGATGAGTAGTTGAAGTCTTATAAAAAAAAAAAAATGAGGGGACTGGGCATGGTGGCTCAAACCTGTAACCCAGTGCTTTGGGGAGGCCAAGGCAGGTGGATCACTTGAGCTCTAGAGTTGCCTAGACCAGCCTGGGCAATATAGCAAAAACCTGTCTCTCTACAAAAAACACAAAAATTAGCCAGGCATAGTGGCACAGCTGTAGTCCCAGCTACTTGGGAGGCTGAGGTGGGAGGATGCTGGGTCCAGGAGGCACACGTTGCAGTGAGCCAGAAGGCTGTCGCACTGCAGCAGACAGCAAAGCAGTCCTCATTCACTAAAAAAATTGTATCTAAAAATCTGGAGAAATTACTATGATGCATCAGAAAGTATAAAAAGCAAGGTACAGAATAATGTGTTATTATATAATCCAATTTTTGTGGAAGACAAAACAAAACAAATTAAAATTCCTATTTATGAGTATATAGGTTCATATGAGCACGGAGACATAGAAATGTGTGAAACAGGCTGTTCCCCTGAGAAACTGGATCTGAAGAGTTTGAAGAACTAAAGTTAACTTTTGAATCATACTTGTTTTGAACAAAATTATGTAATTTCTTTACCTTCTTTTGAAAGTCTTGAATAGAGCGGACAATCAACTTTCTTTAACAATTTCTTCAAGAATGTCAATCACATTCTTTAATCATTTGTAGGAGCTTCACATCAACATTGTCAGTTATGATGAGATTTATGTGATTGTATTACTTTTTACCTTATAAAGAAACAGTAATCAAGTTCAAGCTGCCAACATGTATATGTAATTGTGAAATAATTTAAGGTACTGCTGTTGAGATTTTACATTACTGCAAAAAATTTCTGACCAAATAAACGTCAAAATAATATAAACTATCACAGCCACCTCTAAAGCCTTGGATGATACTGCTCATAGAGTCACAGAAATGTTTTCTTACTAGATCATTCAGAACTAGGATTATCAATGGCAAACATATAAGTCTGGATGTAAGAAATTCTATGTAGCCTTAATAGAAAACTTTTGGGCTATTAAACATGAAATTATTACAGGTCAAATAGATTTTTGGCTATCAGACTAGCAGCATTAATCTCGAACAAGCTCTTAGAGTTACCTGGGTAGGCCTGGATTTTGCCTTTTATCTCCCAAGTGGCTTTATAAATGGATTTTTCTTTTTCTTTTTCTTTATTTTTTTATTTATTATTTTCTGAAGGTGCTTATCACTCTGTCCCCAGGCTGGAGTGCAGTGGCGCAATCTCCGCTCACTGCAAGCTCCGCCTCCTAGTTCACGCCATTTTCCCACCTCAGCCTCCCAGGAAGTAGCTGGGACTACGAAACGCACCACGCTTAGAGCTAATTGTTTTTGTATTTTGTAGAGACGGGGTTTCACCGTGTTAGCGAGGATGGTCTCGATCTCTGGCGCTTAGTCTACTCACCTTGGCCTCCCAAAGTGCTGGGATTACAGGCGTGAGTCACCGCACACCTGGCCTCAATTCTCAAAGAGATTTTATGATATTATAGTCTTCTTTCATATATCACATATCTTTTCTCTTTGCAAATATTAATAGCTTTTTAAAAGATTTTGTATTTTTTCACTTCATGGATTATTTCTTCCAACTTCTATTTTCTTTGCTATGTTTCTATCTTTCCTATTACAAAGCTAGAATCACTCCACATATCTAATGATCTTGGTTGTCTTCTGTTGCAGGATGGGGCACCTAATGAACTATTGGGAAGCTCTGAAACATAGGTGGCATCTGTGTCATGTGAGATTCCTCACAGAGCTATCTGGTGGGATTATTGCTGGGAATATAAAATTCAGTAAGGATGGTATTTTCTCTTGGGCTGGTCAGATTTTCAAGAGATGATTTAGGAAGTTTCTGTTTAGAGACACATGCCCCGCTGCCAACACTCCAGGCCGAAGAGGGCAATTGAGAATTGAAAATCATCCCAGCAGAATAGAAATCCAATAGAAACATAAAAGAGCTCAATAAATGTATGCCTTGGTGTACCTTTTTCTCCAGAAGATAACTAATGAAGTTCCCCCAAAATAATTAATTCAAAGAAAAATGCTGTGATACCTGACAAGTTGAGTGCTCTCACCTGAGGAGAGAGGGATTCCCAAGGATGAGGTGGGAGGCTCAGGATAGCAGGTGTGTCCAGATGCAAGCTGCACTCCTCCCCGCATGGGGTGGAGTCAGGGCTCCTGGGGAGTTTGCACAGCTGGGAATAAAATTTCCAGTGACTATATAAACAATCATTCACTGTGTCTCCAAGCAATTTAAATGGAAATAAAGTTGACATGTTCTCCAAAACATATGCTAAAAAACTCAAAAAGTAGCTTTAAGGTTGACATACACATACAAAATATATGTCTATAAAATGAAAATAATATTAGACATACACTCCTTAGAGGTTATTTCTGAGGTTCACATGAGCCATATTTGAACCATTTGGAACAGCAACTTTGCTTTGTACAGAGAGTGACAAGGATATTAGTTATTATTATTGCTTTCGGTTGTTAAGCTCAGAGTTAGGCTTTCAGATCTGGCCCCCACCACTTGCTGTGTTACGTTGGAAATTTATGCAATCTCTCACAAACCTGGTATCTTCATCTGTACAATGTGCACAGCAATGGTATTACCTCCTTAAGTTAATGCTAAACATTGCACTAAATGAGGCAATGTATGCTCAAAAGCTAGCATAGTCAGCACTCCATAAATGTTAGGTATAAATAGTAATCATTTGTGTTTTTCACAAAAATTTATGTTTTAACTTCAAAAAGGAAAAAACTCTCCACCATTAAAGAACTCTTTGGTTTTTAGATAGTTTTATATTGCAACAACCATACTATTTGTATTACTCTGTATTGTTTTAATAAACCTTTGCATTTCTACATCATCTCAGTAATTACACATTTAAGCATCTGCCAGAACATTTTTTCAGGATAATTTAAAATACATCAACACATCATCAAAACACTTTTGGAACACTCAGATGGTTTATAGTTTGGCTCTTACAGAGAAGACTGGATGGAACATCTTTGCTTTTGGATTGGGCTTCTTAGATTATTTCCCAACTCCTTCACATAAGGAAAGTACACAAACATTTGCTCTCACATGCTCTTTGTGGCAGAATTCAGGCTTCTGGCCACAGCCAGTCCAGCAAGCATTTCAGCTCCCTCAACATCTTTGGCTTCAATTACCAAAATCCAAAATGAAATGCTAATTGAAAAAATTCATAGCTTTGAATGTGTAGGTATTTTCAAAAATTCCTCTAGGAACTTAAAATTTATTCTATTTATTGTAATATTCTATAGATTATTTCTATGGCTATTTCATTCTCAAGTTCTATTTGTACTACTAAAGTCCTCTCTCCCACTCTTAATTTTGCACCCCATCCCCAAAAATGCTTTAAGACTGTTATTTATGCACATACATGAAGAATGTTACAATTTTCTAGCAACCTTTACACAATAATATTAGTCTTCTGCTTTGCCCAAATGATTATCCCCAAAAATGAAGAATTTGCACTGAAGACACTTTCTGCCAGTTACAATATTATTTCTTAGTTGTGGTAAATTATTGGCCATGGAAAAAGGGGACAGGTGGATCTCTTACAGAGATGCTAGTCTGTCCTTCTCGGGAAGCTTTGGAGTCACATCTTCGCACTACTCATCCTTACCTGTATAATTGTATTAGAGATGCCAGTCCTTGCCTTCCACTAACAGCTTCCGAAGCACTTGTGGTCATTTGTTACATCAGTAATAGAAAATTAACACACTTCTGTAACAGCTTGTAGCCGTCTACAATCTGTGGGTAGACATCTCCCTCTTTGACCACAACCTGGAAAAGCTCTCCAATGTTAAGAAGCCATAAGATTAGATTAGGTTCACCTGGATAATCCAAGCTAATCTTCCCATCTCAAGACCTTTAACTGAATCACATCTACAAAATCCGTTTTTTTCCATGTAAAGCAACATAATCCTGAATTCAGGGGTTAGGGTGGACATCTTTGAGGGTCATAATTCTGCCTAGCACACAGGGGATTGCTGACCCAAACAGAACCAAGCATATCATCTCTCTGGAATGAAAGCTGAATTTAGGATATAGTACTTGGTGGAAATGTAATATAGAATTGGGCTGGCTTACAGAGACACACACAGAAAGAAGCAGAGGAAAGTGATGCCCGTGACCCTAAGTTAGCTGGGGGTTATCTTTGGACATTCCAGATGTTGCTCCAGGCCTGCCATGGCCCTCTGATACTAGAACACTGGCACTCAATCATGTGACAACTGCTCTTCCCCCCAGAGCCATTTAAACTTTTAGAAGGTGGGGCAAAGAGTAAGCACAGAGTAGCTGCCAGATGGTATTAAGAAAGATCTCCTGGCTCTATGGAGTTTGTCCCACAGTGCTTTTGGCAGTTCATGGAGCCATGTGTTCATGAAGCGATGAAAGCTCATAAGTGGATATCACATTTCCAAATCCATTAGAGCCTTGAAAACCAAGGTGGTAGTGGCTATAATTCATGAAATGCTCTGTCTATAGGTGTGAGAGAGGATTAAGACAGAAAAATGCATATAAAAGAAATTACTAGGGGAGAAAAATGTTTTCAAGATTATTTGTCCATATGTAAATTGGATCTATACCTCTCAATTGCAACTCATCTTTCTTAGTAAATCTTAATAAAATATCTTTTTTCAAGGGGGCTTCCTCACTCTCAAATTAGATGTCATTCATTTAATTTAGTCAGCAAATATCTGAGCATTCACCTGTACCCTCCTGGAGTTAAGAGCTGAAAATGCACAATGCAAAGACGAAATAGGGTCTTCCTCTTTTGATTCCACGTTTAACTTTCTCCTGGCACTGACCACTTCCTGCTTCACAGGTGAGTTCTCTATCTTCTCTACCTGAACACAGCCAATCCCACAGCAGTATGTGATCACTTAGAGAGGGCACTGAATGCCCTCAGTTATAGGACTCTCATAGAACAGTGTCTATCCCTGACTTATAAAGGAGCACAAGAGGTCAATCTTTATGCAGCAAGGGGATGGAAGAGAGTAGCATGACTGTAGAGATGGGTTAATCCACCTCCACAAGAACGTGCTTATCGTGGAGTCTCAAAGTTTGAGTAGGATGTGAATGGGCCAGAGAGGACAAGAAAAAAGAGAAAAGAGCATGATGAGCAATGGATTCCACTTTGGAGGACCACAGAGAGATACAAGCTTCTAAGAAGTGTAGGCCTTATCATTGGAGAATCGGGAGAAATAGTTGGATGAGAAGAGCTAAAGAAGCCAAGGTTATCACAAGGCTATCTCAACTCCCTCATACCTTTCCAAATGAGAAGCAACTGAAATCGTAGGACCTCCTTGCTTTTCTATTGGGTGAATGTTCTTAGTGTGAGTCTCAGTGCCTACATAACTAAAGCTTACTGAAGTGTTCCTTAGCAAATTTAGAAAAATATGTCCTTTGTGCTAACATGTTCATATTGACAGACTATATAATTATATAGTTGCCCATATAGTTTATGATGCCTCAAGTGTGGATAAAAGAAAAATCAAACTCCTATTCTTGGAAAGTCATGAGGATACTTGTTACACACTGATCAAGGGCAATGGAAATGATCCAGTGAGATTTTACACTCATTTCTCCCCCAGTGCTTCAAAATCCACCTCAAATGTCTGTCCTCTACAATGTCTCGAGTCCTTCATTCTGAATAGCAACTCTGTCTCTGTTCAGCACTAGCAGCCCTGTGACAGGGCACTTCCCATTCTGGCTGGTATGTAGACCTAGTTGCCTGTGTGTCTTTTCCCCATGACGTGAGCCCCTTTTATGAATAATAATTGCAGCTAACATTTTGGAGGTACTCCTATCTGCCAAACTCCATGATGAGTGTTTGGATTTTCCTTTATTCACTAAACAGTCCTTTAAAATGATGCCATTATTCATCTTCATCTTACAGATAAGGAAACTAAGGCAAAAAAACATTCAGTGAAATAATAAATCCAAGCACACAGAACAAGTAAGGAATAGGGTTGGCCTGGTCCCAAAAGCCATGCCATCACTGTTGCCCCATACTCTCTCTTGGAACAGGCAGAGGTCATGTCTTATTCATCACTGCTACTCCACTGGACCCAACTTAGTGCCTGATACAGGGAGGGGTTCAGTCCATACTTACTAGTTTGAGTGTAAATTGCCAGACACAGAAGTCCCCTTTGCTGTGACTAATTGAAAGTCTGATTCTCTGCTTTAAAGACAGCCAGGGTGCTCTCTCTGCCCTACTTCGTTTTTCCTGTTTCCTTACTCCTCTTCCTTCCTAGCCACCCCGTGTGGGATTCAAAGTTTTTATTAGTACAGACAAAGGAATACAAGGCAAAACGACCAATGTGGGATTGAGAGAAGAGAAACAAGGAATTCAGAGGCTGGGGGGGAGAGTAGAAAGAGAAAGTGATTACAATTTATCACTTTAACTTAATATTTAACCTAATGAAACCAAAACCTTATCTGGAATTTGGAAGTCAATATTTTGATGGCTGGTTCAGTACCCTTTTCTTTGTTTTGACAGTCTGAGAATAATCCAATGGATGTGGCTTAAAGACATCGATCCCACATGTGGAATCGAATTGGAATGTTACACAGGCAACAAAATAAATATCTGTACAATATATCTGCTTTATACCTCAAGCAGAGAAAGAAATCACAAAAGACTCTTGATCTCTGGTCTGCAGAGAGAACAGAAACAACATGAGCACAGCAGGGAAAAGTAAGCAAAAATATATTGCAATGGTAATATATTCTCATCAATAATATAACAAAGAAAGGAATATTACAGTATTTTGATGAATAATTTAAAATTAATATCTAAATTAGAAATGATACACTGAAATAAGATGCTATACAATATACACCTCAATATATAATGTATACTGAACTGCAGTGAAATAAGCTATTCTTAAATAATCTTGCACCGGCCCTCCGCCCCTGGGGCAGCGCCTTGCGCGGGCCGTGCGCCCACCGCCTTCCAGGGTGGCTGCTCCGCGAGCCGTGGAGAGCAGGCGCCGCCTTCAGGCTCCCGGAGCTCCAGCGGGTGCAGGACCAGCTTGAGTACCTCTTAGCGGCGGCTCACCCTTTTCTTTCCCTCCATGAGAAAGAAGCCAGCTCTATCTGAGGGCAGCAATCCTGATGGTAATTTCCTCCAGGAACACTGGCTGGTTGAGGACATGTTCATTTTTGATAATGTAGGCTTCACCAAGGACGTGGGAAACATCAAGTTTCTGGTCTGCGCAGACTGTGTAATTGGACCAATTGGCTGGCATTGCCTAGATGACAAGAACATTTCTGTGTGGCCTTGGAACCCAGGTTCCCATGAGTAACTGCGGGTGGGGGTATCGACTCCCACCTCCAAAGATAAACCTGCACTCCCCCAAGGGCAGCCTTTAGTAGCTTGGTCTAACTGTTCTGCTGCACTTCTTCTCTGTGCTAACATAAATACTGTGATACCAACATGTCACTTGAACATGCAGAGGAGTTAGTCTTCCTAAAGCCTCACGAACATGCCTCCTGCTTGGTTTACTTTGCATCAGATTTCTAAGCTCCTGTTCCCCCAGTTTGGGACACTGTGCTTACCTCCACAATCCCTACATCTCTTTCCTAGCATTCTGCCCAGGCTTTGTTTGCCCAGGGGCTCCCTCTTTTTCTAGAAGGCAGTATTCAACCTTTTAGCTATGGCGACATGTAACAAAGATTAGCGTGGCGCTGAATAGTTGAAAGTCTGCCTTTCAAATTCAATAAGGCATACAAATATCTGAGAGTGACTTTGTTGTATAAGCTTCCTTGTGATCTACAGTAATTTAATCTTTCTAAAGTAAAGCATTTACTAAACTCAGTGACCCCAAACCACTAACCAGAAGCATTACTTGGATACATCTCTAATATTTATGTTTGAGCGCCTCTGCTCTAGGTTGAGAATGACATTTTATTGTGAAGATGAGTAGAGTCCCTCTTCCCTTGAAATCTTGTGGTTTCTTTTTATATTAACTCCCCACTGCTACAGCCTAGAGGTGAGGAAGCAGATTTTTAACCCCATCTTTAGCAGCCACTCCAGAAAACCCAGCCCTGGCTATTTGCAGACTCTCTTGGAATGAGTGCAGGGTGTAGGATATGAGGAGTTAGGCCTTTGCCAGATTATCATTGAGTTTATAATTCCCTTCATCTGGACAGGTAACTTTCTTCCTTTGTTCATAGGCAAAAAGTTCTTTAATGGATGATATCATTTACTGAACCTACTAGGCATGGTCCTCATGGAGTTTTGGTTCAACTGGAATCTCTGTGCCAACCCAGGATACAAACTTCCCATCCGGATGCCTCTATTTCTCCACTCAGCTCCGGGAGCTGCTCTAACAGTTTGATATCAGCAGACTTGTTTAAGCCTTCAACTTGATTTCCAAATATTCCATCATTTCTATTCTGAAATGACTCACCGTCATAGAAGGAAGTTTGTTATATAACAGGTTTCAGGTGTCCTCCTATAACCACCTCTATCATTCAGGAGGCCTAAATTTGAAATAAGTACTAAATAGAAGCCTCACCATCTGAAGTCCTTCTTTGTTTTCTGATTACTTCCTTCTTCCTTGCCACCCCCAACCCAGACTTTCTAAGGGCTCCGCCGCTGCAGTGCAATCTGGCCTTGGGCACACTTTTGCAACCAACCTACTCCCGCAGTTGTTTATTAAATTAAGAACAAAGGATGGGCTGGTGACGGATTGGGGAGGACTGTGGTGCTTCCCGACAGGTAGTTACGCTGATAGTTTGTGTCTGGAGAAGAGGTTGTCAGTGGGGCAGAACATAACTTGGTAGTGCCTCTGGGCACACTGACCTCCATCCTCAAACCAGAACCTAAGCTAAGCATTTTTCAAGTAAGTTTGAAACTAGCCTGTGTGCAACATAGTGAATTCCCATCTCTATTTTTAAAATGAACAAGGCTAACGGGGCATGGTGAGGTTGTCACTGTGGTGCCTGTCGCCCAGGACATAAGGTGGAAGGATCTACTTGAGCCCAGAGATGGTGACTGCAGTAAGCCAAGATCACACCACTGGCACTCCAGCCTGGGCAACAGAGTGATACCCTGTCTCAAACAACAACAACAAATACATATACATATACATATATATGGCAGCTTGAATAAAACCATAGTATTTCATTGTTTTCATTTGCTTCATTTTACTTCTAGTAGAACTTTTATGTACTTATCAGTCATTTCTGTTTCCTTTTTGAAAACTGCCAAATGTTGCCCTAGTAGCCAAAAATATCAAGTTGCTATTCTGCCTTTTCAGTTTGATCTGAAAGAAATAAGAACATTTGTGTGGAAAATATCTTTAACAGGAATGTATAAAACCTGTAATACAGTCTTTGTTTCTACATTTAAATAAATTTGCAAAAATGATAGTTTATTCCAGCTAATGTTTGACTGATTTGTAAATCTAAAGTTAGAAAGTCTTTATTACAAGTTATCTTTATATTAGCTTCATAATTCAAATGTGTTGTGTTGTATTCATATTTTTATGAACACAAGAAAGTTGTCTGACAGAAGTTTGATGAGAGAATTTGATTCAGAAGATTAAATATGTGGCACTTACTATAAAATATCTTACAAAATGCTCTTTGATCTCACAGCATTAGAATCATCAAGGTTAAGCAGACATCAGCATGCAAATTCTAATTAAAAGGGTCCATTATGATACAATTCAGGAATTTCCCACAAAAATCCTATGGAACCCAATTATCTTCCCCATTTAAAAGTTAGTGTGGTTTTTTCACAGCAAAATTAACAATACAATTTGAATAATAATACAATTCGAATCCGCAGCACTAAGAATACAGATATTTGTTTTCCTCTATAAATTGCGTATTTATTTTCAATGTGTTTACAGGTGCATGTGGTCATTCAATATAATCAATTGATATTTTTTAATTGTTTAATTACATAAACCTGTGCAACTATTTCCAGTCATTTGTTGTGTTAGGAGTGTACCACACAGTAAAATATCTCACCATGATAATTGAATTTAAAGGTTCTGAGGCTTCTCTCTCGTTGTGTGACAAACAAGGCTCATATCAATAAGACCGGTTAAATCACCAACAGCCCATTGTCCACTGTTCTTATTTCACCTCACTTTACTTTACATTTTATTACTAGTGTATTTACATTCCTAATGAAAGTGCTAAAATGAAAGATTCAAAATTTGCAAGCTCAACGAAAATGACCAGGTTCATAGAGCAAAGTATAAACCAACTATATTAATGAAAATAATAGCAGTGAAATAGGCCAAATCCTCCTGTTGATTGCAACATCAGTAACTTAGCTTTTTGACAGCATTTCATTTGTGTTTACCCATCCTGCATTTTATTTCCCTCAAATGCTAAATGGTATTCAATGCTAACATCTATTTCATGAAGTGATTTTGAGAATTAAATGAATACTGTAAAGCACTTAGAATCATATCACAATTACACGTTAAATATTAGCCACTATTAAGAAATATTAATATTTAAATAACTATTATAAATGTCATTATTATTATTTGCTATTTAACTTTTGCTAACTTTTTAACATCACAGAGTACTGAAAATGTGGGGAGCTAGATTAATTGTTATTCTCTGTACAATTAAAGCTTTCAGACTTCGGAAAAATTATTCAATCACTGAGTCAATTGATCCTCAATTATTTCAGCTGTAAAATAAGCCAATAATTCAATAGTATTGTCCTGGTAGCAGCCTTGTCAGGTTTAAAAATAATGCACATTGTTTACAGCAGCACAATTTGCAATTGCAAAAATATGGAATCAACCTAAATGCCCATCAACTAACAAGTGGATAAACAAAATGTGGTACATGTACACCACAGAATACTACTCAGCCTAAAACAGATGAAATAATAGCCTTAGCAGCAACTTGGATGGAGCTGGAGGCCGTTATTCTAAGTGAAGTAACTCAGGAATGGAACACCAAATATCCAATGTTCTCACTTAAAAATGGTAGCTAAACTATGAGGACACAAAGGATAAGAATGATATAATGGACTTTGGGGACTGAGGAAAAGGGCAGTAGGGAATGAGAAGAGAAAAGACTACATATTGGATTCAGTCTACACTGCTGGTGAGGTGCACCAAAATCTCAGGGAAATTACCACTAAAGAACTTATCTGTGTAACCAAGGAAACCACCTGCCACGCCAAAACCTATTGAAATTAAAAATCAATCAATGAATAAATTTTAAAATAAAAATAAAATAATGCATATAATTTACCTTCCCAGGCCACAATGTGCCTGTCACATCATAAGTACCTAATAATAAGAAACTTCCTACTATTAGTACCTTCTGTCTAAATATTCTGATATTTATTTTGGCATTGACCATGTTGAACATCCTACAAAGTTGAAGAGTTTAATAAATAAAATAATGAAATGAATTGGCAGAAAAATAAATCTCAATTGAATTTTTAAATTATATTTGCAATTATGTTGATTCTTTCTAGAAAGGGCTCTGCGAACTGTACATGCTTTACCACAATGAAGATGGTTTTACAGTATATACCAAGCACTAGAAACATATACTGAACTTTTTTTTTTTTTTTTTTTTGAGACGGAGTCTCGCTCTGTCGCCCAGGCTGGAGTGCAGTGGCCGGATCTCAGCTCACTGCAAGCTCTGCCTCCCAGGTTTTTACGCCATTCACTTGCCTCAGCCTCCCGAGTAGCTGGGACTACAGGCGCCGCCACCTCGCCCGGCTAGTTTTTGTATTTTTTTAGTAGAGACGGGGTTTCACCGGGTTAGCCAGGATGGTCTGGATCTCCTGACCTTGCCCAGTCCGCCCGTCTCGGCCTCGCAAAGTGCTGGGATTACAGGCTTGAGCCACCGCGCCCGGCCTGAACTTTCTTTTTAAGAACATCTATGGATAGCTCTGCTGTAGATGGGGAAATTCAAACACACTGTTTCTCAGTTTTAAAATACATGTGTGAGTCTGAGTCTATACACACATACGTGCGTGCACACACACACATACCACCAACTCCTAATCTCACCTGTCTTTGGTTCAAATCTAAGCTGGAAAGAGTCTCTACACATAAATTAGATTACAAAACAGGCTGCCAAAGATAAGTTTCAAATGAGTAGAAACAAGTTAGCACACAAGTGGTGGAGAAAATTAAAAGAGGACAATAAGCAAATAGGGAGAAAGAAACATCATAAATGCCATAGGAAGGTAAACCCGTATAACTGTTCTTATAGAGTCAGATCCTTTTGGCCTAAGCAGAAAATTGAGCAAGAAAGCAGTTTATTTTACGTGGACAGACACGCTCTGTCACTTGAAATAAAGTGACTTCACAACTTCATGTATCAACCAACAGTTGTGGGAGAGTAAACAGCAATGCTGCAGGACAGCATAGAAATATCAGGAATAAACACCTTCAGAAAAATACAACAGCGTAAGAATGGCCTAAATAAGTATATTCCGTTTTCTCAATGTCTTATTATACTTTATCTTTCCTTATGTTATTATTTTTTTCAAAAAGATACTTTTATTCTCTTTATAAACCAGAGTACTTCATTATGGAGACGCGGTAGGTACCAGACATGGACCCAATTACATGTACAAAGATGAAAAGACACAATTTCTGACTTGAAGAGTGAGAAAACACTGTCACCATCTCTCAGTTTGATTTTCTAGGTCATCAAATGCAAAGCAGCTGTGCTATGGGAGGTAAAAGAAACCCTTTTCCATTGAGATCATGGAGGTTACCTCCTAAGGCTTATAGGATTCGCATTAAGGTGAAGTATTTTTCCCATTGTGTTCATTTTACATTTACATCAGAGAATATTAAAATGGAAACATCAAAAAAATCTACTGAGCATATCTTCAACAAGTCATCCAGAAAATAAAATTACATTTGTTGTCAAGCAAAGGTATAAATATAAATTTTGAAATGTTTAAAAAGTGATCAAAGAATTACGCACAGTATAATTCAGTAAAATACAAAAGAATTTATATGTTTGTACAGAAAAAAATTCCACAGGATACCTATCAAGACTTCCAAAATCAATTAACATTAGATATTTTCCATGTGCTGCTGCTCTTTCTACTTGTTTTTAAAAGCGTGCATTCTTTTAAGACTTAAAATATTTCCAGAATCAATTATTTCCACAGATTCTTCTAAATTGTTTAATTCCAAGAGGGAAGGTAGAGAGGGTTTTAAACTGATTAACCTTGGCAGAGAAACCGAATCTTTCATATTTAGGAATGGTAGGTGTAAAGCCCTTGAATATATTTTAGAAGCACAATATCAGGAATTTGGGTATGTTAAATTTATCTAGTTACAATCTTTTCTGAATCTGAACATCTTCTCTTTATTCTGTAGATGGTGGCTGAATCTAGCTACAGCAGATGACCACGTGGTTAGTGGTACCCTGGTGAACCCCCTTCCTGTGATTTTAGGCCATGAGGCAGCCGGCATCGTGGAAAGTGTTGGAGAAGGGGTGACTACAGGTGAAACCAGGTACAGGATTCACACTCAGGAAACATGTAGTTAACATCCTAAGATTTCCCAGCCTGGATGAGGGGAAACAGGCAATGAGACGGACTTTTAGAAGGTCACCGCTCAGCCAGGACTTCAGGGGTTTCCTCTTTCCCTCTCTGCCTGCCTGACTCAAGCATGTATGTCTTCAGGCACTATGTATTCTACCCTTCGTGTGTACTGAGCATCTGCTGGATGCAGGCACCAGTTGGAGCCTGGAGACATGTGAGGATCAAAGGGACACAGTGCCTGCCAGATGGCATTCGCAATCCCTAATAACTTCATGTTAGTATTGCTGAACCACGAAGTCTTCTGCAGGGCTCAGACAACTAGAAACGGGAGGAGGAAAAGTAGAGGTATGGAAACTGTTCTGTGCTGAGTTCACAGAGTGGAGCTACACAGCTACAGCTGAATAAACACTGACCTTTTCTTGGGTGACCTATGCAGCCACATCACCAATTTCCTCTTCCAGCATGGTCTCTTCTGAGCATGGAATCAGTAGGCAGCCCCAGGTGAAAAATGAAAGAGACATAGAAGGAGCCATCCACCATCAACAATGTCTGCCTTATTACCTTCAGCCATGCTTAAATGTGACTGGTTTACAGATTACTAATTATAGGAATAACAGGGGACATTTCTATGCCATCATTTTCACATTTTTTCACATAAAATTTTACCTGAGTATTTGTGGGCAACCATTTTCAGCAGTGTGTGGAATGAGTGGCGTAGGTAGTGAAATAGGAGTGTGTTTAATTCCACATCCACCTAGCTAACTTCTTCTTCTTATTTTCAAGCAAATCTCTCACTCCTATCACAGAGCTGGGTCTGAAGGCTGGCATCAGCTCCTGCAACCCACCTCCCGGGTTCACGCCATTCTCCTGCCTCAGCCTACCAGTGGCTGGGACCACAGGCGCGTCCACCACCACGCCCAGCTGTTTTGTATTTTTAGTAGAGACAGGGTTTCACCATATTAGCCAGGATGGTCTCGATCTCACAGCCTCGCCAGTCTGCCCACCTCGGTCTCCCAAAGTACAGGATTACAGTCTAAAGAAAATCACTTTAGGCACTAGATTGGACCTGCCACTTCACCAAATATTTATTTGAACTGTAAACAGAAAAATAAAATGAACTGTCAATTTGAGTTCAGCTCCTACTAATTTCTTAGTACAGTAATAAATTAACTATAAATAACTAATAACTGCTAAACTAGTACTACTAATAACTACTAAATAATACTAATAATCACTAATTAGTTAGTAATAAGTTAATAACAAAATGACTTCTGTTTACCTGTGCTCACTCACTATAACAGGAAAAGTGAGTAATTCTAGTGCAGTAAAAACATTTCAAAGTCAGTTCTTGTCCTAAAAGTGCCTAACTTACTGTGGAGGGTTGAAATTTCAGAAGATTTCTCGTGATTATTCTTTGTACCATTTTTGATTATTTTATAAAAAGAACCAAAATCATTTTAAAGGATTCATTTCATAATAAGATAAACCTAGTCACTTTGAAAAAGAATTAGTTCAAAATTCTCATTTTATTAGAAAATCAAACTATAACAAAAAACAGGTCTTACCAACATCTAGTGGTACTATTATACCCTACTTTTAACTAAAATTTATATTTATCCCTTACATTAAAATTTAAATAGTTAAGGATTAAATTAAATGTTTGTAAAGCCTCAGGAGAAATTAAATTACACTACATAAGAGTAACTATTAATACAGTGGAAGCAATTTTTCTAATCCATGTTGTTTCCCATATTTGCATTTCCTCTCTAGGAATCTTCAGGCACTTATAAACCCAAACTGGAAACAAGGCTATGGCAGGAAACGACAAATGACATAGTTGTCAATGAACTGTATTCTTGGAGACTTTTAAAGACACATGCTTCTAATGTTTCAAAAGGTATGTGAGCTTTAAGTTTATACTCTATTAATACTGGATAGAAATTGTAAAAGATTATTATCTCTCAGGTGATAAGGTATCCTCATTATTCCTCAGTGTGGAAAATGCAGAATTTGTAAAACCGGAGAGGAACTGCTGCTTGAAAAGCAAGTAGGTTTCTGATGCTCTCCCTGCACAGACATTGAGTTTGCACATTACTTATGCTCTGTCTCTTCTTTGTGTGTCTGTGTATTGCACTGCCCAGTGTGAGCAATCCTCGGGGGACCCTGCAGGATGGCACTACCAGGTTCACCTGCAGGGGGAAGCCATCCACCCACTTCCTCCCGGGTGTCAGCACCTTCTCACGAGTACACGGTGGTGGATGGGAATGCAGTAACAAAATTGATACAGCCTCACCCATGGAGAAAGTCTGCCTTATTGGCTGTGGATTTTCAACTGGTTATGGGTCTGCAGTCAAAGTTGCCAAGGTACGAATGACAACGGGTGATAAAAACAGTTACCTGCAGACTGTCAGGAACCCAAAAGGGGAAGCAATTTCTCTAAGAAACAAAGTCTTTTATGAATTTTGAATGTTGGCTAAGAATAGAAACACAATCCAGAAAGAATTGAGAGCACATGCTAGAAATTTCACATGTTTATCAGATTAAAAAGTTATTGAGAGTTAAGAAAATGTAAAGATTTCATTTTCAATAATTACTCTTCTGTATCTGCTCTTCATGAGATCATGAAATTTTGGGCCTAGAACTCATGTAGTAATTCATTCAACAATAAGAGAGCACTTACGCATGCCTCAGGCACCAGAGTTTCTGCTAGGTTCTGAGATAACAAAAGTAAATGAAATGAAGCATTTGCCTTGAGGAAGCATCTAGTCTGTGGATCCTCTACTCCCAGAATTAAGGAGCAACAGTAGAGTCAAACCTTACCTGATGCGCTTCTAATAAAGATACCCACTCTGTGGATTCTAAGACGGAAAGTAATGAGTTTCAGTGATGCGTAATTCCTCGTATGAAGTTCCTGCTAAACTAACTCACCTGCATGAACACACACATTTCCAAGTGGTAAATTTCAAGCGAAAAAATTCTTTAAAGAGCTCCCTCATCTCAGTAGGCTGAGAATCTAGTAGTATGCTTTATTTTATGAAACCTTGAGTCCAGAGTAATGAAGATAATTGCTCAAAGTCTCAGTGCTGAGACTGAAATATCTTTTTAATATGAGAGCTGAGATTAAAATATCTTTTTCAATTCTCCTGCAGAATCTTAGCTCGCAATACATAATTATTAGTGTTTTAAAATCACAGTCACAAGTCTTGTATTTTTCTAAGTAAAGTACCAGAAAACGGTGGTATCCCATAGTATGAATAACACTTGGTGAATGAATGAGTGAATGGGCACTCTTAAGGGAATATAAGGATGAGATTAATTGGGACAGGAAAGCATGTCACCCACAAGTGAAGACTGACTATGAGGACCTGGTAATAAACCTAGCCAACCAAAAAAAAAAAAGTCAGAGGCATCTTTCCAAATTTCTGACTTTGGCACTTAGTCTTGTTCAGTTGCCTCATCCGTGGTGGTCAGTGGAAACCTACAAGACAGAAGATGAGGCTACTCACTAACATGATTGATTGTATTTATTATTGACATATAGACAAATGATTCATTTGCTGTGTTGTTTGCTAGTATATTTTAAAGCAGGGATATACTGGTCACAACTACTGAACATAAATGAACCAAGGCGTTAATTACTGAGGGTTTAAGTGGAATATTTTTCAGTCTCCTGGAGTAGCCTTTTCCACTTATTTTATTTTCCAAATATTGCCTTGGTGTATGTATGAGATATTGAAGCTAACTATCATGGGATTTCAGCAATCGGGGAGTCCCTTCAAGACCTTAATCACTGCCATCTGGATCTCAAAAGGTGTCAGTCCCTGGTTCCAGCACAGCCTTCCCATTGGAGTCACCTGGGAACTGAGTTCCACCTGCAGAGATTCTCATTTAATTGACAAGGGCTGTGACCTGGACAGTGGGATAGTTTGTAAAGCTCCCCAGAAGAATCTAGTATGCATCAGTTTGAGAACCACTCAACTAGTTCATCCCCTTGAATTTAAAAATAGACTGAAGCCAGAAGAGAGGTTTTGATAAAGGTTGGACTGAAGAATCTGAGCAGCATTTGATAAGCACCTAAGCATGGCACTTTATAAAGCTTAGGCACTTTGCAAATGTTACAAGATCCATTTTTGCATTTCTGAAAATACAGAGTAACCCAGGGCTCTACCTGTGCTGTGTTTGGCCTGGGAGAATTCAGCCTATCTGCTGTTATGGGCTGTAAAGCAGCTGGAGCAGCCAGAATCATTGCGGTGGACATCAACAAGGACAAATTTGCAAAGGCCAAAGAGTTGGGTGCCACTGAATGCATCAACCCTCAAGACTACAAGAAACTCATCCAGGAGGTGCTAAAGGAATGACTGATGGAGGTGTGGATTTTCGTTTGAAGTCATCGGTCGGCTTGATACAATGGTATGTACCATGACATGCCCTGAGATTTTTGTCTCTGCAACCTGGAAGATGCATTTTAGGCAGTGAATATCATTATTATGTATAAAGGATATTTTTAATGATGAATGGAAATTTCCCATCATCTGTTTGTTACCTGGCTTGTTTAATTTTTGTTATGAGAAATCTTTTATTCTATCAACTATGCAAACCTGTCTCAAGTCATATTTCCTCTAGAGGAAAAGAAAAGGGCCTGTTTTTTTCTTGCTGAGCAATTACAGATTTACTTTATTAATTTTTAGTTAAAAACTGTAAGTTCAAGTAAACATAAATAATACAAATTCTGTTCTCAAATTGAAATGTTTTATTTTTCTCACATTCACAAAAATGACTCAAATAATTTTGCATATGTTCTTAATAAATTCCAAATTTTAACATGTTACCCTATTTAGCCCAAAAAAGCCGACAATTTTAGGCCAGCTTTGTTTATTAATAAAAATATGCCCTAAGGAAATTGACTGCTTTAAAACATCACTTTAAAACATCATTTTATCTAGAAACTGGACAGTGCCTGGCACATAGCTAATTACTCAATACTAGTTGGACTGAATACTTTGAAAAGTCAACAGTCTCTACTAAAAATACAAAAATTAGTCATGTTGGTGGTGTAAGCACATACATGCAATCCCAGCTACTCGGGAGGCTGAGCAAGACAATCGCAGACCCACGAGGTGGAGGTTGCAGTGAGCCAAGATGGCGCCATTGCACTCCAGCCTGGATGACATAGTGAAACTCCGTCTCAAATAAAAGAAAAAAGCCAATAGACTTTACCACCCCCCAAAATTTAAAAGCTATGCAATCATACCATTGCTTATAGATTAAATGAGACAATGCATGTGATATACTTAGCACCCAGTGCTGTCATATGGTAAACTCCCAATAAATATCAGCTGTCTTTTTTTTTTTTTTTTTTTTTTTTTTGAGACAGGGTCTCACTCACCATCACCTGAGCTGAAGTGCAGTGGCTCGTACAACTCCTAAGCCTCAAACCCCAGGATAGCGATTCTCCTCAGCCTCCAAAGTGCTGAGAGTATAGAGCCTGAGCCACCACACCCAGCCTCAATTGGCATTATTGATATGAAATACTATTTCCAATCTTGCAGTGCTTACATCATCTTTGGCTTATTACATGGTATTTCTTCCAAACAGTTACAAATATCAATTGCAATGGAAACATCTCTAGCTATATTTCACCTACTCAAATTCTCAGATCCTACTCAAAAGTCTCAGAGAAACCAACAAATTTCCATTGCTGAGGATTTTCTAGAAGGTCAGCAGTGTGGGTAACAGGGTAACCCTAAGATCAAAGCTCTCAGCAGCCTTGACCTGGGACAGATGCCACAGAGAACTAAAATGTCAAAAGAATTCAGCTTTTTTTCCAGGACTACAACTTTTCTCTTTATGCTCTATTTCCATGTTTACCCATACATTTTCTCATGTGGAACTCGAATGTACCTTATCTGATGATGCAAATGTCCCAGCCTACATGTTCTAGATCAGCAGTCTTCCAAAGGTCAGAATCCAAAATCAAAAGAACTAATCATTATATACCTATAGGATTCTAAACATTTCTTACTACAGAACGTGTTCCAAAAGCTGACTGGAAAACATTTTCTGAACTGTCTCTTGAGGTTTCCAAATAATCAGTGTATTTTATTAGCAAAACCAATATGTATTTGGGGAAGTAATAAAACAATATTTAAAACATGTCCATTTGAGAAATGGACAGTAGAACAGGAATCCACTTAAGAAGGAGACCATCAAATGGACAAGAGACAAATTTCAGTGATATAATTGTTTATCTTGTTCACCGTCAAAATATCTGGTTGAAAGTACTGGGTTCAAAATACCTATGTAATAAATCAATGAAAAATGAATTAACCAACTCACAGATCACCTGAGAATTACGTGATGAAAGTAAAATTTTACGCTTTATGCATGTTATAGCTGATGCCTGCCTCCTTATTCCTTTATTAGGAAGAATTAAATGCCTCCAATTTATTCATCTATTCTTTCATTAAAAAAAAAAAAAAAAAAAAACATTTTCTGGGCATTTCCCTAAATCCACAGCACTATCTATACAAAAGGGAATGAAGGAGCAAAAGACATAATCTCTTTCCTCCACACACTCACAATCCAGTTAAACCTATTACACGTGTGGCCATTATGAGAAAAACTATGCAACTCCACGTTAAAGATGCCAAATATTCACTTTATTCCAGATGGCTTCCCTGTTATGTTGTCATGAGGCATGTGGCACAAGCGTCATCGTAGGGGTACCTCCTGATTCCCAGAACCTCTCAATAAACCCTGTGCTGCTACTGACTGGAGCGCACCTGGAAATATTCACTTTATTCCAGATGGCTTCCCTGTTATGTTGTCATGAGGCATGTGGCACAAGCGTCATCGTAGGGGTACCTCCTGATTCCCAGAACCTCTCAATAAACCCTGTGCTGCTACTGACTGGACGCACCTGGAAGGGGGCTGTTTATGGTGGTATGTAGTTGGGCTCAAGTGCCAAATTCTCATTAACATCAATATATCTCCACTTCTACAACTGACAAGGCAAGGTTTTGAAAACAAATCAAAAATAAATTTAAATTCCTTTTCTATCTACAGTCTCCAAATCAACTAGATATGGAACTGATGCAGACAGAAGGTCCCAATATAAACTTTTCTGTTGTCACCATAACCTAGGATCTTTCATCTCCATCTGTTTTTGTACTTGTGACTGTGTAAGGCATGGACATTTTTAGTAGAAGATGGAAATCTACAACAATATTTCATATCTATGCCCAAATTTAGACAACCAATAAATTTGCTCCTCAATTTTGGGCATAAACATCTGTACTATTATTTTTATGTGAGAGACAAAATAAGAAACTTTGTTTATCTGTGATTTTTTTTTAAGTCAAGGCACTGTAAAAGCATATTGAAGTACTCCATCTCTTCTTATTCTCATTTATAGCAGTCCGGAATGAAGCACCTTTTCTAAATTTTCATTTATTTGGAAAATCTCTTCAATTCTTCTACTGACCCTGGTCGAATCCAACAATGATACTGTCTTCTTTTCAGGCTTAAAGGGTAAAGAAGGTAACCCAAAACTTGTGGCTGATTTTATGGCTAAGAAGTTTTCACTGGATGCATTAATAACCCATGTTTTACCTTTTGAAAAAATAAATGAAGGCTTTGACCTGCTTCGCTCTGGGAAAAGGTAGAGTTTAAGTTAGTTTTCTGTTTTGCTTTTTTTTCTACTACAGGGGATTGTCTAGCAGAGAATGAAAAAGGTGAAAGGATGAGAAAAAATAGAGTCCCTTGGTTTTCCATTACCTGTTCAGTCTTTGCATGGAGCGCTTGTAGGATCATACTGTGAGAAGCTAAAACCAGTTGCTTTGCATTTCCTATTCTGCTGAAGTTAAATTATGTTGATTACTGCAAATCTGAATGATCTGAGCCACTTAGCCTTCCTTAAAAGAGAACACTCACATTTGCCAAAAAAAAAAAAAAAAAAAAAAAAAAAAAACCCACACAAAACAAGTCTATTTAAACTACCATAATTATAACATGGTGACTTTGAATCCTCATCCTTCTACCTTTATAAAGCTGACACTAAGTGTCTGCATATTTAAATAATTTTCAGGACGTCCTTGACATTTTCACTGCAGGAGTAGGTGGAACTACATTGGGATTGTTTTCTAGGTAGATGATACTAGTTTTTCTCTTTTTCTTTTGTAGTTTAAGAAAACTTTTTTTTACCAATATAAGTTATCATAAAAGAGAAGAGTACTAAGCACTATTTTAAATGTTTGTCGTACATTTTCTCTGAAGCTTAGAAAAACAAGCCAATTCTATTTCCTATCTCTAACATTTAACAGTTACAACCAGCTAATAAAATGCATTTTGTCACCTGCATTTACATGAGGCACAACTGGAAACAGGCAGTTATATCTAACCTTTGTCTTCTAGTCCAGAGTCTGAGATTTTTCTGCTATCCCATACTTATTTTCATGAGATTTTCAACTTTAAATAGTATTTCTTTGGCATTCACACAATCATTATACTAGACACTTTAACTGACAACATTCTTGAGGAAGGAAGGAAACTGGCACTCACAGAGCACCGGCTGTTCTACTAAGTATCTTACCTGCATTATCTCATGTGATTTCCAAACAGTGCTCAGTGTCAGTCTCTATCTCACTATCTTAGAGAAGAGAAACTGAGACACGGAAAAGACATGACTTTGCCAAAATCATCAAGTGGTAGTAAGGGGAGCCAGGATTCAAAAGTATATCTTGTTATTAGCAAATCTATTCACTTTCTACTGAACCACACTGTCCCTCAAAAGCTCGTGTACATATGGAAAACAGTAGTCATCAAAGGTTAGTTATCATTGTCATTATATTACCATTGACATCATCATCGGGATCATCATCATAAGATTGAAAAGATGATGGCAAATATAGAGATGAACAAAACCAGAGGACAGTGTTGAGCAACATAAGAAGTCATGAAGCATGCCTAAATTCATTTTATGAGAATGTCATATAGTAATATGCATATGTAAATATAATTAATCCCATCAATAATCAAAGATTTAAAATTGTAATATTGAATATTGGTAAGAATAAGGTGAGTTGGGCACTTTCATGTACTTTCAGTAGTAATTGATACATACTTCTGGAAAAGTAATTTGGTAATATGTATCAGAAACCCTTAAAAAAATAACTGAATCATTTGCCCCAGCAATTCCATTTCTAGAAATCTATTCTACAGAAATAATCAACTATTCAAACATACATATATGTTTACTCGTTAGAACTTTGGAAACATTCTAAAGTTCAACACAAGGAAAATAAATTCGTAAATTCCAGTCATCTATTAGAAATGAATGAAACCGCCAAAAAGAAATGACTTCATTGGGAAATTCTCATGATGTAATTTTAGGCTCATTTAATGAAGAATATAAATTGTATATATTGTATATGCAATGTCTCAAATTTTCATCAAAAACAGTAAAACATGCACATATTTCTAGAAAAAGTTCATAGAAATTCAGGAAAGCATTAAGAATTATTATTTCTATGTTGGGAAATTGTGGATTACTTTTACTTTCTTCTTTCTGCTGTGTTGCATTCTCTGAATTACGTGCATATATTTTTCTCATCTCTGCATCTGCATATACATATATATGTTAAAAATTAAAATTATTAAAGAGTCACAAAAACTATCATTTTCTAAAAATATTTACTTATGAGAAGTTGGTTTATAGAAAGGGCATTAGTTCTAGTGTAAATGTTCCATTTGTAATCTTCACAAGAATGAAGAATCTTAGAATTAATACAAATTGACTTTATTCTCTACTTCTAAGAATCCTTAAACAACTCCGTATCAAAGGTCTTTTAAATTTCCAGCATGGTCTTAACTTTGTTAAATTATCAGTTCTTTCAGGCAAGTTATCCATCATCTTATGAGTTTTGCAAATTTGTATTTGGGTTTGAATTCCAACACTCCATACTAGATGTGCTACCAGAGCAAGTTATAAATCTTTCTAAGTCTCAGTTTTTATCATCTCTAAAACAGAAATAATATGGAAACCTACCTCCCAGTGTTGATGTTTAGGTTGAAGTTTAAGAAAATGCGCAAAGAATATGACAAATAGTAAGAACTTACTGCAAGTTATTATCTAGTGTTGTTTTATATTCCTTATTATACTAGGGATGTGGGCATGCAAAAATGATTTTTTGAAGATGCTAATGTAGAATTGAAGTCTAAATGACAGGCATATTCAGAATGTTGCGAGTGAGATTAAGATTAGAGAATAAATAAAAATAAAAAAATAAAAAAATAAAAAACAAGAGAAAACCAAAAAAGATGAACTTCCTTTGACTTGAACCAAATGTATGGGGATGGAAATAGCGTAGCTGGGATCACAGACGGATTTTCACTAAGACAACTCAGATGCTCCTTGGACTCTCACGTGGAAGCATGTGGGTTGTCTAAATGTTAACAAGTCTCTTCTTTCCTATTGCAGTATCCGTACCGTCCTGACGTTTTGAGGCAATACAGATGCCTTCCCTTGTAGCAGTCTTCATCCTCCTCTGCCCTACATGATCTGGAGCAACAGCTGGGAAATATCATAATTCTGCTCTTCAGAGATGTATTCAATAAATTACACATAGGGGCTTTCTAAAGAAATGGAAATTGATGGGAAATTATTTTTCAAGCAAAAATTTAAAATTCAAGTGAGAATTAAATAAAGTGTTGAACATCAGCTGGGGAATTGAAGCCAATAAACCGTCCTTCTTAACCATTCTACTGTGTCATCTTTGCCATTGAGGAAAAATATTTCCTGTGACTTCTTGCATTTTTGGTATCTTCATAATCTTTAGTCATTGAATCCAGTGGGGGGGAACCTTCACTTGCCCTGAACACACACCTGCTGGGCCACTGTGCTTGAAGTCTCCTACCTCTATCTCAATTTTCACTGTCTGCATTTTCCTTTTTTAAATAAAATGTACCAAATCCCTAGGGTAAAAGCTATGGTAAGGTAAAGGATAGACTCACATTTACAAGTAGTGAAGGTCCAAGAGTTCTAAATACAAGAAATTTCTTGGGAACTCAAATAAAATGTCCCACATTTACTACAGTAAAGGGTAGTGTTTTTATGGCTTTTATACTATTTCTTTATGGTCGATGTACAATTGATTTTTAAAAATAAGAGCAGATTTCTTGCTTCATATGACAAAGGCTCAATTACTAATTGTAAAAAATGAACTATTTCCAGAATCATGTTCAAAACATCTGTAATTTTTGCTCATGAAAGTGCTTCATTGACTAAATTGTATTAGTCTATGGCTATACATGATTATTTAGATGATGACTGAAAATGCATATAAAGTAATTAAAAGCTATATGGTGGCTTTAAGTGTAGAGATGGGGTGGCAAATGCTGTGAATGCAGAAAAAATTTGGTAACTGAGAAATGGCACAAACACCTTAAGCAATATATTTCCCTAGTAGATATATATACACACATACATATATACACGTATACAAACGTATATTTTTGCAAAATTGTTTTCAATCTATAACTTTTCTCTTAACTACCATGTCTTAAAGTCAATTCTATAATCCTAGCATTAGTTTAATATTCTGAATATGTAAAGACCTGTGGTGCTCATTTGTTAATGCTTTCCCACTCTCAGGGGAAGGATTTGCATTTTGAGCTTTATCTCTAAATGTGACATGCAAAGATTATTCCTGGTAAAGGAGGTAGCTGTCTCCAAAAATGCTATTGTTGCAATATCTACATTCTATTTCATATTATGAAAGACCTTAGACATAAAGTAAAATATTTTATCATTTACTGTGTGATCTACAGTAAGTCCCTCAGGCTCTCTGAGCTTGTTCATCCTTTGTTTTGAAAAAATTACTCAACCTACCCATTACAGCTTAACCAAGATTAAATGGGATGATGTTAATGAAAGAGCTTTGCCAACTAAGAAGGGCCATGTAATGTGAGTAACTTGACTGTTTTGTCAAAAATGCTAAAGGTTGGGGGGCGCGTTGTCCCTGTAATCCCAACACTTTGGGAGGCCAAGACAGTTGATGACTTTAGGTCAGGAGTTCGAGACCAGCCTGGTCAACATAGTGAAACCCCATCTCTCCTAAAAATGCAAAAATTAGCCAGGCATGGTGGCGGGTGGCTGTAAACCCAGCTACTCCTGAGGCTGAGGCAGGAGAATCGCTGGAGCCCAGGAGGCAGAAGTTACAGTGAGCAGAAATCTTGCCACTGCATTCCAGCGTAGGCGACAAGAGCAAAACTCTGTCATAAAAAAAAAAGGAAAAGAAAAGAAGAAAAGAAAATGCTGAAGGAGTTACTCAGGGTCAAGAAACTTTTCAGAATGTCCCTAAGATAACATCATCATGGGACACTACCTGTTGCTGGGTGCTCTGCAGCTTTTACACTGATGCTGATGGTGTGAGATCCAGAAACAGAAAATGGGGTTCTACACACCTATCTCACAGCAGGGTCATCAAATCCTACTAGTGACACAGAAGGTGACATCCAGCTCCCATCCTCCTTCCTTCCAGGTTTGGGGAGCAGGTAGAGTGGGAGCCATTAGGTGGGCTCTGCCAGTGTTATCATAGAGTGGCACAGTCCCCCACGGGATGGGAGTGGCATGTGGGAGCCTTCTGCATCATGCACTATGAAAAAAAAATTACTATGGGGCAAGTAGTTCATATAGTTAAGTGACTATATATACATATATTCCAGTGTAGAAATTATTAGCTAGGTCTGTAACCAAGTATTGCACAGAAGTGCCTTCATAGGTGCTGAAACAAGATTATGAGAGTGACAGACACAGGAATGAAGAAGACAGGGAGAAAATGTGCATGGTTGTGAGAATATATTGCTTCAATTCTTTGACTTCTCATGATATATGAAAACAAATAAAGTCTGGGGTTGACTTCAATAATATCATGAATGTATTTAAAATGAAATTCTGAGCATGGAGAAAAATTTCAAATTCTGGTATTAAAAAATAATTTAAAAATATAGACAAGGAAAAAATGTTTTCATATATATGACTGACCCAAAAAAAAAGATATTTCTAAAATCCTGGTGCTTTTTCATTTAAAAATAGACAACCGAAGAGGAAAATGAACAATGATGGAAATTCATGGAGGAGGAAATTAAAATGGCAAAATAGCATATTAAATGGCACTGAGCCTTGGTAGTGGTCAAGAAAATATAAAGCAAAATGAGATATTACTGCTTACCTATTAGCTTACATGGTTGGTAGAAATGTGCATTGTCGTAGGTTTCTGACAAACAATTTGTGATTTTTATTAAAATTTTAAACATGCATAGCCCAAGCAATATCACACTTGGGAATCGACTCTGTAATTATAATTGTGTATAAGAATATAGAAACAAGGCCATTAGCTACAGCCTTACTTGCAGAAGAAACAAAAATTTTTAAACTGACTGATTGACAGAATAAAGAATGATGATAACTCCCTATTTTGAATGGTAAGTTCATCTCATTAAAAAAAAAAAAAAAAATAGGGGACTGGGCATGGTGGCTCAAACCTGTAACCCCAGTGCTTTGGGAGGCCAAGGCAGGTGGATCACTTGAACTCAGGAGTTCGAGACCAGCCTGGGCAACATGGCAAAAACCTGTCTCTACAAAAAAACACAAAAATTAGCCAGGCATAGTGGCACACAACTGTAGTCCCAGTTACTTGGGAGGCTGAGGTGGGAGGATCGCTGGAGTCCAGGAGGCACTGGTTGCAGTGAGCCATGATGGCACCATTGCACTACAGCTTGGGCAACAACAAAGCAAGTCCTCATTTCAAAAAAAAAAAATTGTATCTAAAAATCTGGAGAAATTACTATGATGCATCAGAAAGTATAAAAAGCAAGGTACAGAATAATGTGTTATTATATAATCCAATTTTTGTGGAAGACAAAACAAAACAAATTAAAATTCCTATTTATGAGTATATAGGTTCATATGAGCACGGAGACATAGAAATGTGTGAAACAGGCTGTTCCCCTGAGAAACTGGATCTGAAGAGTTGAAGAACTAAAGTTAACTTTTGAATCATAACGTTTTGAACAAAATTATGTAATTTCTTTACATACTATTTTTGAAAGTCTTGAATAGAGGCAGGACAATCAACTTTCTTTAACAATTTCTTCAAGAATGTCAATCACATTCTTTAATCATTTGTAGGAGCTTCACATCAACATTGTCAGTTATGATGAGATTTATGATTGTATTACTTTTTTACCTTATAAAGAAACAGTAATGAAAGATTCAAGCTGCCAACATGTATATGTAATTGTGAAATAATTTAAAGGTACTGTAACTGAGATTTTAATTACTTAAAAAAATTTCTGACGAAATAAACGTCAAAATAATATAAACTATCACAGCCACCTCTAAAGCCTTGGGATGATATTTCTTATAGAGTCATAGAAATGTTTTTCTTACTGGATCATTCAGAAACCTAGGATTATCAATGGCAAATATACAAGTCTGGATATAAGAAAATTCTCATAGGCCTTAATAGAAAACTTTTAGCGCTATTAAACATGAAATTATTATAAGGTCAAATAGATTTTTGGCTATCGGACTTGCAAGATTAAAGCGAACAAGCTTTTGGAGTTACCTGGGTAGTCCTGGATTTTGCCTTTTATCTCCCAAGTGGCTTATAATTGGATTTTTTCTTTTCTTCTTTTTTTCTTTTCAGAGATGGAGTCTCGCTCTGTCGCCCAGGCTGGAGTGCAGTGGCGCGATCTCGGCTCACTGCAAGCTCCGCCTCCCGGGTTCATGCCATTTTCCGGCCTCAGCCTCCGGAGTAGCTGGGACTACAGGCGCCCGCCATCATACCGGGCTAATTGTTTTTTGTATTTTTAGTAGAGACGGGGTTTCACCGTGTTAGCCGGGATGGTCTCGATCTCCTGACCTTGTGATCTGCTCACCTTGGCCTCCCAAAGTGCTGGGATTACAGGCGTGAGTCACCGCACCTGGCCTCAATTCTCAAGAGATTTTTATGATATTATAGTCTTCTTTCATGTATATCATATCTTTTCTCTTTGCAAATATTAATAGCTTTTTAAAAGATTTTGTATTTTTTCACTTCATGGATTATTTCTTCCAACTTCTATTTTCTTTGCTATGTTTCTATCTTTCCTATTACAAAGCTAGAATCACTCCACATATCTAATGATCTTGGTTGTCTTCTGTTGCAGGATGGGGCACCAATGAGCTATTGGGAAGCTCTGAAACATGGGTGGCATCTGTGTCATGTGAGATTCACTACAGAGCTATCTGGTGGGATTAATTGCTGGGGAATATAAAGTCAGTAAGGATGGGTATTTTCTCTTGGGCTGGTCAGATTTTTCAAGAGATGATTTAGGAAGTTTCTGTTTAGAAGACACATGCCCCGCTGCCAACACTCCGGGGCCGAAGAGGGCAATTGAGAATTGAAAATCATCCCAGCAGAATAGAAATCCAATAGAAACATAAAAGAGCTCAATAAATGTATGCCTTGGTGTACCTTTTCTCCAGAAGATAACTAATGAAGTTCCCCCAAACTGATAATTAATTCAAAGAAAAATGTGATACCTGACAAGTTGATGCTCTCACCCTGGGGAGAGGGAAGGGATTCCCAGGATGAGGGTGGGGAGGCTCCAGGATGGCAGGTGTGTCCAGATGCAAAGCACCTCCTCCCCACATGGGAGTGAGTCAAAGACTCCAGGGAGATACACAGCTGGGAATAAAATTTCCAGTGACTATATAAACAATGATGCTGTGTCTCAAGCAATTTAAATGGAAATAAAGTTGACA